TTCTTAGTTTGGATAGTGTGAAACTTGGGTGCTCCTGTCTCACCGTGCTCTGCCATGTCTGACTTCTGTTGTAACTTTCAGTTAGGTGATAGGATCTCAGCAAGTTTCCAATGCAAGCCTTGAACTTTTGATGCCCCTGCCTCAGCCTCCTGAGATGCTGGGATTAGAGGCCTTTGTTACCAGGCCCAACTAACTCTTATTTCATAAGCCACCTATATCCTTGCTCCCCTGCTGAGGGTCAGAGCTGTTAGGGGACACTGCAGGTGGAGGGAATCAGTCCTGCTTTGGAGTCCTCTAGGAGAGAGTAACTTGGCTTGAGTTTGCCAAGCAGGGGATCTTAGTGGATGGAGAGGTGGGGGGGGGGGGCGAGGGGGGGAGCAGAAGAGCTGCTCAAAGGGGCAAAAGGGTCAGAGTGAAGAGGGAGTATCAGAGAAGGCCAGGCCCAGGCAGCTGCAATGCTGTCTTGGAGGGACAAGGGGCAAAAGGTGAAGCTGTGAGTCTGGAGTCTCAGCAATAGGAGGCTGAGGCTGGGGCAGGGGGCACACTGTGTCTCTGATGACGTGGACTCCCACAGGAGGCTGAGGCTGGGGCAGGGGGCACACTGTGTCTCTGATGACGTGGACTCCCACAGCCCACCTCATCTCTGTCTTGCATCTTCACCATAACACACCACTCAGGACAGTGACACAAAGCTTCATCAGGCTGCACAATGTACCAGAAGGGGCCCTCACCATGTTCATTCCTGTGGTCACCACATCCCTTTACTCAAGACCCTTCAATGGCTCCTATTTTCTTCTCTATTGATACAATTTCTTGTCTGATAGCTGAGGCCTTTCCCATTCCCAATTCATGCAGTCCCTTCCCCTAAGTCACATGCAGGCTGCTGGGCCATCGCCAGCCTCAGTCACCCCTCCTTGACCTCGCACTGATGTCTACTCCAGAGAAAGACCACCTCAGCCTTTCAGCAGCAGGCCAAAGCCATCACCTCCACTCACCCTTGCCCTCAGAGCCTGCTGTGACTGGATCTGCGGTCCTCCCAACAGCTACTGGAGCCATGCTCTGTGATAGGCACTAGGGATAATGAAATGTTAGCAACCAGGTCATGGCAGGCTGAGTGAGTCCTGAAGCCAGCATTCTGGCTCCATACCTAGCTGCCACTCCACCTTCCTGAACTGCCTACACCTGTGACTGGGGCTTGGCTTAGGGCCAGGCCAGGTGCAGTAACCTACACAGTGCCCATTGCTTCTATCACCTTAGCTCCTTGTACACCAGCTCCTGTTGATACAGCCTTTGAAAGACAAAATGAGGGAACTGCAAAGCAGGGTGGCCAAGAAGGCATTCTTAACAGGGTCTCCTGTGTCGCCCTGGCTGGCCGGAAACTCACAGGATCCACCTGCCTTTACCTCCCAAGTGCTGGGAAAGTCATTCTTGAAACAGATGTTACTTGAGTAAATCCTGAAGGTTCCATGTAGAGGGCTAAGGCTAGGTGAATCTTCGAGGAATCTGACTGGCTGGAAGAAAGCAAGAACAGCCATGCTAACTAACAGCCGCTCCTTGGACAGAGCTAGAGTGGACACTCACCATCACACTTTTCTTGGTAGTGGTGGGGGTTGAGACAGACTCTTACTATGGAGACCTGACTGGCCTGAAACCTGCTATGTAAAACACACTGACTTCAAACTTGGGGCAATCCTGCCTCTGCCTCATAACCACCATGGCTGGCTTAAAACTGTTCAAGATTTTCTTTCTATTCACGTGTGTAAGTGTATGTCATGTGTGTCAGGTGTTGGAGGAGGTCATTAGACCCCCGGAGCTGGAGTTAGAGGTGACTGTGAGCCACCTGACCAGGGTGCAGGGAAATCAACTTAGGTCCTCTGGGACAGAAAGTGCTCCTAACCAGCTCTCAAGCCCCAAAGATTTTACTTACTTCTTTAAAAATGAACATTTAGCTGCGCGATGGTGGCACACGCCTTTAATCCCAGCACTCGGGAGGCAGAGGCAGGAGGATCTCTGTGAGTTCGAGGCCATAGCGAGATCCAGAACAGGCACCAAAAACTATACAGAGAAACCCTGTCTTGAAAAACAAAACAAAACAAACAAAAAACCAAAACCAAAAAAGGCAGCAGGGTGGTGATCACTTGGGAGGCAGAGGCAGGTGGATCTCTGTGAGTTCGAGGCCAGCCTGGGCTACAGAGTGAGTTCCAGGAAAGGCACCAAAGCTACACAGAGAAACCCCGTCTCAAAAAACAAAACAAAACAAAAGCTGCTAAGGAATAATAAGATAAAAACAAAACTAATACATCAGAGTTGGACAAACGAATCAGAGAACTACTCATTCGCACACTCAGGAATCTCATAAAAACTCTAAACTGGAAGCTGCAATGGATCTACAGAGGACCTGGCGCAGACCCCTGCAGGCCCTGTGTATACTGCCTCAGTCTCTATAAGTCCGTATGAGCTTTTTTTGATCATGTTGACTCAGAAGGCCTTGATTTCTTGGTGTCCTCCATCCCTTCTGGTCTCTGCACTCTTTCTGCCTCTTCAAGGAATTCCCTGAGCCTTGAGGGGAGACATCCTTTTAGGGCTAAGTATTCCAAGGTGTCTTGCTTTCTGCATGTCTGCCTGTGGGTCTCTATTTGATCCCCTCTGCTGTAAGAAGCAACTTCTCTGATGATGGCCGAGCAAGGCACTGATCTATGAGTATAGCAGGTCATTAGGAATCATTTTGTTGCTTTTTTTTTTTTTTTTTTTTTTTTTTTGGTTTTTCGAGACAGGGTTTCTCTGTGTAGCTTTGCGCCTCTCCTGGAACTCACTTGGTAGCCCAGACTGGCCTCGAACTCACAGAGATCCGCCTGGCTCTGCCTCCCGAGTGCTGGGATTAAAGGCGTGCGCCACCACCGCCCGGCTTGTTGCTTTTTTTTGGAAGGTTATATTTGGTTTTCCCCTAGGTCCCTGTGTTATCTAGTCTCAGATTCTTGGTCACCCAAGCAGTGCTGGGTAAGAGTTCCATCTTGTGGATGGGCCTTAAGTCAAGTCAGGTATTAGTTGGTTCCTGCCACAAGTTCTGTCCACCATTGCCCTAGCCTATCTCTAAGACAAGACACCAATGTAGATCAAAGGGCTGTTGGCTGAGTTGCTGTTTGTTAGCATGCAGAGTACCTTCTTATACCGAAGACTCTAGCGCTGCCAGGAGGGTGGAGGCTCTGTGTAGCCATCAGCTCCACTCCTCCCTGCTCAATGAGTTGTGTAGATGGTTGTCTTCAGCAATTCGGCCTTGCCATCAGTTTATGGAGAGCAACCTGTAGTCTTGGCAACAGCCTGGGTTTTTTGGGGATTCCCATGGGACTTCTTTGGCCAACAGCTCAATTAGATGCAACATGATCCTAGTACTATAGGTTTCATTTGGTGACGAGATAGCCAGTTGGGGCTCGATCTCCCATTATTTGGTGATTTCATTTTGATCACTTTTGTGTGTATGTGTGTATATATGTGATATATATATAAAATCAGGAAGCTCCTACTGTATGTACTAGGTTCATACTACCCCTCAAATGGCTCTTAATTTTACCTGCTTCTCCCTGTATTCCCTCCCTCGTCCCTCTCCCCTTGATCCTTCTGTTCCAGCCCCGCCCCCATCCATCTATATCTATTCTAAGAGATCTGCCCTCCCGCCCCATCCCTTGCTGTATACCTAACTGCTGTGGTTCTATGAATTGTAGCTTGGTTATCTTTGACTCAACAGCTAATATCCACATACACCACTTGGCTCTCTTATGACCACATTTCACCCGTACAACCCAGGGGCTAAACACTGCTAGCATCCCAACTTACAGGATAGACAGATACATGCTTTGCTCTGGTACCTCTGTTACCAATTGCTACTTGCTGTCAAGTGTGGAAGGAATTGAAAATGGGCATCCTTGGGTGGCAGTATCCTAGCTAAAGAAGCAGGGACAGTGATGAAAGGCTCTACTCAGTCCCACAATGTGCCAAGGCCAACCAAGCCTTGAGGTCTAGGGGATGTCAAGCAAGGTAGAGTCCAGCACAAGAAGAAGGCTGAATCCTGAGTTCTTCTGGAACTTCCTAATGTACCCAGAAAACATCATCTGAACTCATAGGATAGAGACAGCCTCAGAAATACCAGGTAGTGGTGGTGCACACCTTTAATCCCAGCACCTGGGAGGCAGAGGGAGCAGGTCGGTCTCCAAGAGTTCAAGGCCAGCCTGGTCTACAAAGTGAGTTCCAGGGGAGCTGGAACTGCACAGGGAAACCCTGTCTTGGAAAAAAGTGAGGGGTGGGGGGCAGATGGACAGAGACAGACTCAGAAAAGGCTGAAGCCCAGAAAAAGACAAAAGCAGCTAGAGAATCACCCTGGATAGGAACTAGTTCTGATGGAAGCAGAAGCAGCAGGCACCATTTTGTCCTCCAGAGGGCACCTGATACCAAACAATGAAGCCAAATGAGACTTGGAGGTAAAGTACTGCCTCAAATTATAGCATCAGTGAAATTAAGAATTAATGCTAGTACAGAAAGGACATAAAAATTTCATAAGCCCAGGTATATTAATATTGAAACTTTGTAAGTAAGTAACGAAAGTTACTAGGAAAAAATGCACCCTAAGCCCATTCTGTGGCTGAATGTTCTTACTAAAATCACTCGGTGGAGAAGAGCATTAAGAACCAGAGATACCTGTACATTCTTGCTGGTACTCAACTGCAACCAGTATGGTCACTGAGGGCCTCCCTGGGAGAGAAGATGGCTGCAACTGGCCTCATGGAAGGTCTAACTGCAAGCCCTTCTCCTTACAAGTCCACCTCCTTCCTGATTTGCCCAATCCCATGCTCTTTTGGCCATAGCCCAACTGCCCCTTCACCAAAGACCTGGGGGTGGGAGAGGGAAGAGAGAATGTGTGTGTGTGTTTGACGATACCAAGGCCTGCAGCAGGCTACTTGGCGCACACACTGTTACCACTAGACTATCTTGCCCAGGCCCAGTCCAGCTTGAGTCAGAAAAGGAATATAGCATTTTTATTAACTACTTTAAGTAGAACAAACTAAATACGTATTTAACAGTTTTGGTTCATTTATACAGTACATTAAATAAGTTATACACAGAGTTAAGTAACAAAAGTTCCTATTGAGTCAAATGACAAAGCACAGAAAAACCAGACTCAAATGTGTCCTGCAGGTGGCTTCACATTCATCACCCACCTCTGCAAACCATGCTTGAAGGCTTGGCTTTCTATTTACATTATTGGTTTTCTGTAGGGATGGAGCCTTTGTAGCCTCATCAGGAACTTGGAAAGCCACAGGAATGGAATGAAGGCCTTATATCAAACAGCCCTTTCAACCATTCACCGAACAACTGTTGCAGCTTCTCCCTGGCAACTACACGGCAGGGACTGGGCTGTCCCTGACAGACACCAGCTGCACATGCCCTATTTGGTATAAGCACTGACAGTTTACACTGGGCATCTGGAGGCCTGATAAGATGTGGTCTGAGTGGGAAGCATCACCTCCTGGGCTGTGGAAGGAGAGATGGGAGGGGCGAATCATCACCCACCACCTCAACCTCCTCCTCGTTCACACTTACTCCATCATCTTTGGAAATGGGTGTCAACACATAAGACAGAAGCAGGTAGTTCAGCATTTTGGCTTTACAAGGAATATACTTGAGTGGGCAGGCTCTGCTCAGCAGCTGCCGGGTCAAGGATCTTCCACAGCTGGCCACCTGGCCCACAATGGCCAGCTCAGTTCCTTCTGGTTTTTCTCACATTTGGTTCAAACATGCCACCACCCAGTTCTCTGCAAACAGCTAACATTAATCAAAGCACACTGGCTTGGTCTCCTGTGCCAGGAGCCTGGAAACCTTGGTTCTAGTACAGTTCTGAAGAAAGCCTCAAGATGTGTCCTATTTGTAATGGGTTATTCAACTCACAATCCCGGCTGCAGTTTCCAGGACGATGGCCATCTGCTCATTCCTTATGCTCCAGAGAGAACCCACTACCATACACTTGCAGTTCTGTGAGTCCTCACATACTTGCTGAGATAGCTTCCAGAATCACTCAGAAAAATGTCTTCGCACTCTATAAGCAGGTACGGGCCACTTCATCTTTTAGGACAGGGATATACAAACTAAAATGCACTTCCCGGGGATCAAATGGGTAAGAGTCCACACTGCAGAACAGCCAACGCCCTGAGCAGACCTGGGGGTGGGGGTGCAATGTTGTTTCCACACAGATAGATGGCAGCATGTGACTTAGAGACTCAGGGAAAAACCACTCAGCCTGTGCCCTTACCACCACCTGTTGGCATGAGTCAATCTGATGGAGCTGCTGCAGGGACCCTTCTTCAATGGGTCTTTTTGTTGAGATAGGTCTTATGTAACTCAGGCTGGCCTTGGAATTGCTATGTAGCTAAGGATGACCTTAAACTTCTGGTCCTCCTGTTTCCACCTCCCAAATGCTGAGATTACAGATATGCACCACCATGGCTGGTTTATGTCATACAGGGAATCAGATCCAGGACTTCTGCGTGCTAGCCACACTACCAAATATGCCACATCTCAACCTAGCTTCCACAGTGTCCTACCTACCAAGTCTTCACCATTTGCTGGAGTGAGAAATGACTGTGTAACTCCAGTCTGGCTACCTTTTGGTGTTGTCTGGTTCCTGCGATTTTATCTCACTTGGAAAAGGATGATAAAGGCCTGATCTTTCTTGTTCCCCAAATAGTTATTGCAGAAGCCAGACCTCTGAGTAGGCTGACTCAGCTGTTTCTTCTTTTCTGTCTTAGTGTGATGAATGGAAGCTTTACGTTCACTTGCAGCCTAGTAACGGGTCATATTAGCAGACTAGAAATGAAGTGGGGAGCCAGGACTCACTCATGTAACTCCAGCTCCTACCCCAGATGCTGCTGCTGCTCCTCCTGACTAGGAAGGAGCTGGAGAACTGCAGAAAGGAACTCCTTGACTCTGAAAAGCAAGTCCTAAGCAGATGCCACTTAAGAGTGATACTGACCAGAGTCAAGACAGTGACAGGTCTGAGAACTGAACTATATAGTGTCAAGTATTGTCTAGGTCAATAGACAAACCTATGCAGGGCACAGAAGCCACACAGTCCCCAAATAGGACTATAGAAACTGAGAATCTGTTAGGGCAACCATGTAGCCCACAAAAGTATGCCAGGCTCTCACCCCAAACCTCTGTTGTAGAAACTGATCTCCAACCTGGTAAGAAGTAGTGTGCTGGTTCCAGATCTTTATTCTAACTATCTGGAGTAGTCCTGTGGCCGCAAGATTTTAACTTGGGTGTTCATCCAATTTACTAATGAATAATGGACCCAGGGCACACCAGGAGACATTCTCAGACTCCCAGAAGCCTGGGATCTTCTCATGACACAGCCCTGACTCTACCTAGAAAATCAAAGTTGTCCCCAGTGGCTAGGACACTACAACAGCAGGCTGATGGGGATGTGGCCTGGGAGGCCAGGCTGCACTAGGCTGTCTGACAAGCAGTGGGTCTTGGGTATTCTATGCAGAAACATGATTTTAAAGGTCTAACTTTCTAAGACTGAAAATTCTTGTTCAAATAAGGTAGGGACTCAAAAATCTTTTTTCTTTTTCTTTTTTGGTTTTTTTTCCGAGACGAGGTTTCTCTGTGTAGCCCTAGCTGTCCTGGAATTAGCTCTGTAGACCAGGCTGGCCTCAAACATAGAGATCCACCTGCCTCTGCCTCCCAAGTGTTGGGATTGAAGGTGTGTGTCACCACCGCCCTGCAGGGACTCAAAAATCTTAAAATCAGTTTTAACTGTATGCAAGGACAATGCCATCCATGCCTTTATGGGGCAAGGGCTAGTACTCAGGCTTGGTCATTGTACAGAAGGTGACCACAGCTTCCAAAAGCCAACAGGATCAAGTCAATGACTCATCCCAATTGACTGTATAGGGCAAGAGGATACTGGAGGATAATGAGTGGTAGGGGCAAGGTTCTCAGGCTTCTAACAAAACTCAAATGGCAGTACTTAGCCTGATAAATAGGGTACAGATGATGTTCTATTTGGAGAATCAGGATATTGAAAAAAATCCCTGAAGATGGGAAGAAAAACCAGTCAGGCTTTTCAAAATGGTTCCCACACTTCACAAACTCTTTCTGAGCTGTGAGGGATGCTATCAAACACATAACACAGAAAAAGGAGGCTGAGAATGTTCACCTGATAATGAACCCATGAAGGGGTGTAATGCCACAAAACCAGGTGTGATAATCCCACCAGGGTCAGGAGCACTGCTCAAACTGTAGCCTGACAGGTGCCAAACAGAATCCATGGGCAAGAGATATCTGCAGTGATCCAGACATGCACCATCTGAGAGAGCAAAGGACACAAAGAACAAGACGACTGTTCGAACAGTCAAGCAGCAGCAGAGGGTTTTGCATTTCCAAGAGGTGATGCACTCAATGGTTTAGTTTGGCCAACATGCTCAGAGAAAAGACTAACACAATGGTTTCATCCTCTTTCAGACCAATCCATGCGATGGAGATTATTTTTTGCACAAGCAAAATCAAGTGAAACACTGGCGTTGGAGGATGGGCTCCAAACTGATGGAGCTGGCCAGGTTGGAAAATCTTGTCCAAAACTATCTACGATGCTTGGGGAAGACTGCTTTAATTTATTACCATTGCTAGAGACTTTACTGAAGTGGTGGCTTCTTTGTGGCATGTCTGAGCATTTAGCAGGTCTGAGTGGCTCAGGAAGGAGTCCTGAGTACTGCTTTTTGGCTACTCGAGTCTGTTAGACCAATCAGTGTCTTTTGAGGGTGGAGATGAGGCCTCTACTGTGGATGGTATGGGGCACAGGTGCCTGGTGGGACACTAGAGACAATCTGCTGATGCAAGGAGTCGGAGGAAGCTAGTGGTCTACACTAGGAAGGGCTGGTTATACCAGTTTTAGCTGGAAGAGAAACATCAGGAAAGCCATGGAGGAGGCAGCTCAAGCTACTTCCTATGTGCAGAGACTGACACACTAGTTCTCCCAAGGACACGTGGCCAATCCTAGAGAAGCTGTGGAGTGCCTCCGGATGCTTCTTGCCAATTCGTTTCTTGCTGATGACTCAACGGCTACTTGTTCTAATTGCCAGCTCCCTGGTGTGAGCATTCTGCCATGTGGAGTGGTCATCAGGGCGGGCAGAGTCCGTGGCTCAGAGTCCATTGGCATCGATGGCTGTCACAGAGGCAGGTGTTGAGGAACGTGAGGTGGTGGCTGAGGTCTTGTCCAGGGCTGGGCTGGGCACACTGCAGTCAGCAGACCTGGCTGAGCCCCGCCCTCCGGGGAGCAGTGGCCGGTTCTGGCTGTGGGGACTGTGGCCGTGTAGACTCTGGCCACAGAGGCGGTGGTGCCGCTCCCAGTCTTTGTGCTGGCAGAAGGACCCACAGTAGCGCGCAATATTGCAGCCACTGCAGGTCTCACTGGCTTTTCGGCCACAGTTCCAGCAGTTCTGCAAGACACAGGCATGAGTTAGTGGCTGCTGACATCTTGAGGGGCAGGCTGGCCACTGTCACTTGTCATCTGTATGGTAGAGCAAGGGCCGTGGAGCTACACACCTGTGGCTGAGTCCTCTGAGGATGACCTTGAACTCCTGATCCTCCTGCTTCTCCCTCCCAAATGCCAGGATCATGGGCACATGTCCCCTGTCCCAGGTCTCACAACTATCTTCTGAAGACCATACATCCACATATGAAGCTTGAACAACAATTTTCTATAGCAACCAATGGAGGAACCATCTTCACCGTTTTTACTGACAATTTTTGATCCCCCCCCCCCCGCAAAGCAGGGCTTCTCTGTGTAGCCCTGGCTATCCTGGAACTCTGTAGACCAGGCTGGCCTCGAACTCAGAGATCCATGTACATCTGCCTCTTGAGTGCTGGGATTAAAGGTGTGCGCCACCACCCCTGGCTAACATGTGATCTTTTAACAAAGACTTTGAAAGGACTCTAGGAACACTGAGACTTTTCCCAAAGTTACCTGCCAGGGAACAGGATGGATGAAGAGGGAGGTGGCTGTGCTACTGTTTCCTTTGTCCTCTGCCTATTTCCTCCGCTGTCCTGTCACACTGCAGATGGGTTGAGGGAAACTGGAGTCTGGTGTCAAGGCCACTCAACACTGAGGTACCTCAAGTGGAGCTCAGGGAGCTTTCTTACTGCTTGCTACCTTCAGTTAGAGCGGGACAAATACTCCTGAGGCTCAGCAGAAAGCGAAGAAGAGTAACTCTATCAAAGAACGTAATAGCTAGCTAACGGTGAGGTCAGGACAGTCACTGAGTCACTAAACACATAGCTCAGCACCACCTCTAGATGGCTGGGAGCAAAGACAGCATTAAAAACAAAACAAACAAACAAACAAAACCTACCCCTGGTAGCCCCACCACTGACTCCTAAGTCCTTTGCTACCTCTGGAAGGAATCCATTAGTCACATGTGAATATTCTACACCCAAAGACTCCCAGGACACACTGGTAAAAGAAAGGTGTTGTTTGTTTGTTTGTTTAAAGATTCTAGTCTGGGGTTTGGGGATTTAGCTCAGTGGTAGAGCGCTTTCCTAGCAAGTGCAAGGCCCTGAGTTCGGTCCTCAGGCCCGGGGTGGGGGGCTGGGGGATGGGGGTGGGTGTGATTCTAGTCTGGTGAAGCTATCAAGGACTTAGCAACTAGCTAGCCTTCTTGCCTATAAGGACATCAAAATGGCAGAAGCCCATCTCAAAGCATGGCTACAATACTGGCTAGGGAAGAAAGACAGCCTTCTTCCTAAAATCAGGATGCTTGACCAGAATACAGAACAGGCCTACTGGTTCCTTCCCAGCATTGTAAGATGGGAAAACTGAGACCCAGATGTACTAAGGCGAACGTCATCAAAGGGCTGGCTATTCAAAGCCTAGAACCTGCGTTTCCTGAGGCTGAGGTACTCCATATACAGACTTACTTCAAAGTACATCAGAAAAGACTACAGATCCCTTCTAACTCAGGCTTCTTGTGAAATGTACTATACTGGCTGATGCTACCAGCATCAGAGGACAGAAGTAGAGAATGGACATAACTGTTACGTTACATTTACACATTTTCAGGCACAGTGTCTGACAGGCTGCCGAGGAGTGATACCTCAACAGATTAATGGCACTTGTGAGGAAAAAGTCAGGAGCTGCCTATACAGGTTGCTACTATAGGCTGCCTCTCCCTCCAGGTGTTTTCAAGGACATCTAAGAACCAGGTCAGAGCACCAAGCCACCAACATTTCCATCTTGGCCGCCATTACTTAACAGTATCTTCATGCTGCATAAAATATAGTAGAATAAAGTAAGTAGCCTCCAGAGACAGGTTCCTAGTATGCAGGTATAATATAGTTAGTGTCAGGAAAACTTGGGCAAAGGAGTGGCACAGGCCTGTAGTTCCAGCTACTTCGGAGGCTAAGATTTAATTTGAGACCAGCCTTGGCAATATGGTGAGGCAACTTGTTGAAAGAAAACAAACAAAGGGTTTAAGCTAGGCTTAGTGGTGCCTGCCTATAATCCCTGCATTTGGGAGGCAGAGCAGGTGAGATAGGAGCTCCAAGTAAGCCTTGGCTATGCAGTGAATTCAAGGCCAGTCAACTATGAGACCCTATCTCAAGAACAACCCTCGGCCCCAAATAAAAAACAAATTGCTTACTGTTTAGTCACTCTTCAAATTAGCGTTCCTAAAACCTGAGCCGTAGGCCTGGCTCTTCGGTGGTTATTGTGGGAAGGTCATCCCCCTGAGTTACTGGTTACACAAGTCAGGACTGTGATTTGGATCTCGTTTGTTAAGCAGAGGCCAATGGTTATGTCAGCATCTCAGGTAAGCTCTATCGGAATTACCTGGGGCTCATCGAAAGCCTTGGATCCCAACTTAGAACTCCTGGCAGCCCTGGCCCACAGGAGAAACGATTCTCTACTTCATGGTCAATTGCTAATTTATTGTATTTGCCAGAAAAATTGGAGTTGGGGATGGAACATGTTTTGTTAGAGAGATAAGATGATACTCTTTTTGTCCCTCCATCTCAAGCAGGTGCTGGGCAGTGGTGGCGCACGCCTTTGATCCCAGCACTCAGGAGGCAGAGGCAGGCGGATCTCTGTGAGTTAAAAGCCAACCTGGTCTAGAGAGCAAGTTCCAGGACAGCCAAGCTACACAAAGAAACCCTTTCTCAGGAAAAACAAACAAACAAACAGAGCCATCTGAGGCAGAAAGCAGTGCAGGCCTAGGGAACGCTGACGAGAGCAGGACCTGCCTGCTACAGTCTACACACCACTGAAGAGTATCACACTGTAAACTTAGGTTACGGTCCTAACAGCTACCAGGCCAAAAGGACGGGGCACTTGTGCCCTCTGTACAGAAAACTGGTCCTAAATGATGACAAGTCAGTGAGAAGAGAAGGTGGGAGTAGCATGCCTCTCCTGTGCGGCACAGCATCTCATGAGATGGAGAAACCACTATTTATCCTACTGGGTTGATTTTCTTAATGAAATGCAAGAGAATCAGCATTTTTGTTCCATTGCAAACTCAAAGGCTTAAGATGTCTGTTCTTCCTTTTGAAATGCAAATCTACCAGGATCCAAGCCGGCATGCATCTCACCTGTAGGCTACTTTCAGTTTGCTGCTTAAAATTATAGCCACTACAGTCTTATTCCTTATGTTTTAAGCCTAAAAAAATGACTAAAATGAGAAGGTTGGCATGATGGTGCACACCTGTCAATCTCTGCACTTATGAGGCTTGGGGCAGAAGGATTGCTTTTAGTTCAAGAACAACCTGGATTACATAGTACCAGGCCAGACTGGGCTATATAGAAAGATCCTGTCTCAAAAATCTACGACCCGGGGCTGGAGAGATGGCTCAGCGGTTAAGAGCACTGGCTGCTTTTCCAGAGGTCCTGAGTTCAATTCCCAGCAACCACATGGTGGCTCACAACCATCTGTAATGAGATATGGCACCCTCTTCTGGCATGCAGGCAGAACACTGTATACATAATAAATAAATAAAGGAATGAATGAATAAATAAATACATAAATCTTTAAAAAAAAAAAAAAAGCTGAAGACTAAAATGAAAGTTACGACCTGGGAGTGGTGTACATCCTTGATCCCAACACTTGGAAGGCAGGCAGATCTCTGAGTTTGAGGCCAGCCTAATCTACATAGCAAGTTCCAAAACAGTCAGGGCTACATAGAGAGAGACCTTGTCTCAAAAAAACAAACAAACAAACAAACAAACAAACAAAAAACAAAACACCAAAAAACCACAGAAAAATTTCATTGAATTCAAATATACTGGTGCTAGGGCTGAATGTATGCATCCACAGTCCCATCTCCTCGAGAGGCTGAGGCAGGTGGATACTGGCTTCAGAGGCAGCTTTATCAACTCAGTGAGACCATGTCTCAAAATAAAAGCAATAAAAGACCGGGATGCAATTAAGAGGTAGCACACTTGCCGAACATGCCCACGCCCATCAATTTAATACCCAGTACTAGGGGATGGGCGGCAGGTGGGGTACGATTGGGACTGTCACAATGTTTCTGCCTTTCCATTTTTTTTTTTCTTCTTTGTGACCCATCTTCCCCTATGTGTACCAGGCTAACCTTGAACTCTAAATTCTCTGGCCTCAGTCTCCCAAACACTAGGATTACAGGTGTGTGACATCATGCCCAGTTACAAATTTTCATTGTATTGAAGCATCACTGAGTCTTGAGCCCTGGATAGGGTATTTGGGCGATCTACATTCTCTGCCACTTCTGTAACTGAGAATCAACATCTCCCTAATGAGATTACTGTGAGGATTAAAAGGTGTATACATGCCGGGAGGTGGTGGCGCTCGCCTTTAATCCCAGCACTCGGGAGGCAGAGGCAGGAGGATCTCTGTGAGTTCGAGGCCAGCCTGGGCTACCAAGTGAGTTCCAGGAAAGGCGCAAAGCTACACAGAGAAACCCTGTCTCGAAAACCCCCCCCCCCCCAAAAAAAAAAAAAAAGGTGTATACATACATAGCTAGGTCTCCTTCCACACACAGTGAAACTACCACAGCTATAATTGGGACAAATCTGCCTTCATGGAAGCTAAAGCAATATACTGTGTGTATGTGATAGTCTATAATGAATCCAAAAGAGTGATTTATTATTTTGGTATATCTTAAAGCAAGGGAAAAAGTCTCCTGGTATTGGCTAAACATCCCATCATCTAGTGGACTCTTCCTACCCAGCACCTCGGTGGCAAGCAGTGGGCTTGCTCCCCTTCAGCCTCCCAGCCCAGCCTATAGCCCAGCACAGCTCTGACCTCTGTGGACTCTTCTTGCTCATTGATGACCAGGAAAGCATCTTCTGCAGCCTGCCTTTTGACATCCGCTATGGTTTGCTCCATTCGAGCCCTCTCTGTTGCAATCACTTCAAAAGCTTTTTGCTCCGCCTCAGCTACAGCCTTCTGCACCTCTGACATGGCCTGAATTTTCACCTTATTCACAGCTTCTTCTGGAAGAAAGCAACAGTAAAATCAACTGGCAGAGAAATCTTTTTCCCTCCCAACCTACAACATTGAGGGTAGAGGGGGTTTCAAGGAAGTAGGGTTTAATAAGTTCTCACTATATATCCTAGGCTAGCCTCAAACTTGTGGCAATCCTCCTGCTTCTGCTTCCTGAGCAGTGAGATTATAGGCACGTGCCAACACACTTAGCTAACCACAGTATTTCTAAGGAAAAACAGTGAAAATAAGATGTGCAGGAGTGAACATGAAACATACATTTATATTGTGTTCTTACAAGAGCTCACCCAGTGATGCAACTGTTAGGTACACATACAAGTAGATGCTGTGTTAAGGCTGGGAATACACAAGTGAGTAGACATCATCCATTTTCCTGTATGTGATCAAGTACCCCAGTGGCTTAGGTGCCATCTCACATGTCAAAAGAGACTAGACTTTCAAGGAGAAAGGTGGTCAACTCTACAAGGGGCAAGAGAGGATCCAAATATATTTTGAATATCGTATTTTCTAAAGGAAATGTGTACTTCTATACGAGTTCTATACGAGGAAATAAAGCAACTGGGAAGCTGGGTGTGGCTCAGCTGAGACAAGAGGCTCTTAATTTGTAAAGGGTACCTAGGAGGTGAGGAGTCAGGGTAGTCTGGGTGTGTGGTAAAGGAAAACAGAGGCTTCACGCAATGAAATGCGCATACAAAAAGAGTGGGTAGGTGCCTGAAGGCATCCAGGCAAAAACAAGGGGACATTTGGACTGCCTGGTCAAGATCCCTCCCTCCTCTGACTCACCTTGCTTGGTTTGTTTAAGGCAAGACACTCCCAAATGACATGAGATTTAGCTCAGAGAATGTGAGTGTAAAACATCTCTTTGGAGTCCACAAGGAAACACAACCCAGACCCTAAGGGGATCCCTAACAGCTTGGCTCTTTCATAGAGTACAGGCTCAAAGGAGCATTAAACTGTTCTAGATGCTGTTACAACTTCCTATAGAACTAATCCATCCTTAAGAAAGTCCTCACCCACAGGTCAAAGATTCCAGAATTCCCTATTTCAAATATCTACACATGCCCACTGCATAGCCTGGGTTATACAGAGAAACCCTGTTTCGAAAAACCAAACCAAAACCCAAACCTTGTCTTGAAAAGCCAAAACCAAACCAAAACAAACAAAAAAGATTTATTTTTCTCATTTCTAAAAGTATTTCCAAACTGTTTTACATGGTAAAAATAACTATCTGTTTTGGCATCAAATTATGAATTAACATGCCTATAATTTAGCTACTTTTGGAGCTAAGGAAGGATGATGTTCACACTTCAAAGCCAGCCTTGTTAACTTAGTGAAACCACGCCTTTAAAAAAAAAAAAAAGAAAAAGAACTGGTATGTACTAGAATGTAGTTCAGAGGTAGAAGATCTGCCACTATACTCAAGAACCTGCATGTACTCACTGTTGGTAACTATGTGTGGTGCTAGTGAAACCTAACACATAGTAAACACACGTTTAACCACAGAGTGAAATCTCTTAGCCCTTGAATAGTCTTGGGTAAGCTAGAGACAGGAAAGGGAGAAGGAGCTTGGAAGATGGTTCAGTGGTTATGAGCACTCACTGCTCTTGCAGAGATCTATGGAGATGCTCAGTGGAGCCTGAGCTGTAAGTGTTAGACATGAATTTTGATCTGTAGAACCCATGTAAAGCCAGATGTGAAAGCATGCATCTAACAATCCCAGTATTCTCACAGAGAGATTGTAAGCAAAAAACAATTCCCAGAAGCATCCTGGCCAGCTAGACTGGTGTTCTGAACAGGAAACAAGAGCCAGGTTCAAAACAAGGTAGATGAAGGACTGATACTGAAGTTGCCCTTTGGCCTCCAAAATGTGCTACCCCAAACACAAGAAAACTTAAAAAGAAAATCAGAATCCAGCAAATGTAGTGCTAGTATGAACACAGTATACTAGCAAAGAGACCAAGCAGAAATAAATTGAACTTCATGCTTCAATGGAAACCAGTAGAAGGGCATGAAAAAGCCTAGAGGGACCCATTCCAAACTTCTGACCAGCCAAGGATCAGGCAGGCAGTTCAGTCCAGGAGCTGTGCAGATGAGCCAGAGGGAGAACAGGAGAAGCCAACATTCCACAAGGGGGACATTATGGACAGTCCTAAGGCTGGTTACCAACCTTTCCCTAGTACATGGGTTCCCAGCTTGCATAAACTAGTGAGTACAGACAGCCTACCAGCAGACAGATACACACCTGTTTTCTTCCAAAACTCCACAGGTACATATCCTGTTCCTGGCCTACTGGTGAATTCCCGCTGAGAATCTACACAAGAGAGATAAAGAGCAAGGGGTCAGAAGCTGTCTTTAACGAGTATTCAAAACTTAAATTCTTATGTAGAATAGGCAAATGTTCTAACAATAATCCCTAACCCTAACACAAAATTTCTTTTTATCAGACTTCTCATTTACCACCTAGATCCAACATGTATGCTTGTTTAATGCGAAACATATTCAGAGTAAGAGCTAGGAGCTTCAAGAAGCCGGGTGGTGGTGGCGCTAGCCTTCAATCACAGCACTGAGAGACAGAGCCAGGTGAATCTCTGTGAGTTCGAGGCCAGCCAGGTGTACAGAGTGAGTTTTAGAGCAGGCTCCAAAGCTACACAGAGAAACCCTGTCTCGAAAAACAAAACAAAAGAGCTAGCTTCAGATTATTAAACAGTATACTCAACTAAGAGGTAAGCATGAATTTTTTTGTGGTGTTGGGGATTAAACCTAGGCTCTTGTTCATGATAAATAAGTGCTCTACCAGTAGGTCACACAAAACCTGGGATATTATATACATGAATTCAGTGTATCTTGGCTAGGGATCAAGCCCCATGCTAACCTTTGTTAATTTTAGACAAAATGTCCCTATGTTATTCAGGCTGCCCTTGAGTTTTGTAGCTCTGTATTATATGATCTGGGCTTTTTTGGGGTGGGGGATAAAGTTTCAGAATGTCACAACTCAGGAGGACCTTAAATTTAAAACCCTCCTGCCTCAGCTTCCAGAGTGCTGTTGCATATGACCTTTACATAGTGCAATTACTTGTAAAACAGCATTTAACAGCGCATGGTAGTGCACACTTTTAATTCCAGCATGAAGGAGGGAGAGGCAGGCAGATCAATTTGAGTTTGAAGCCAGCCTGGGCTATATAACAAGTTCCAGACTAGCTAGAGCTACACAGTGAGACCTGTCTCAAAATCAAAACAAACAAAAATAGCACTTAAAAAAAAAAATCACTTGGTCTACATAACAAGTTCTAGGCCAACCAGTGCTATACAACGAGGCCCTGTCACATGCATAAAAATGGTGATAAGAGAGATGGTTCAATGAATAACTGCCTGCCATGAAAGCTTGATGAACCAAGTTAGATCACTGGAGCCCAAATAAAGGAGGAGAAAATCAACTCTCAAAAATTGTCCTTTGGGCCGGGCAGTGGTGGCGCAAGCCTTTAATCCCAGCACTCGGAAGGCAGAGGCAGGTGGATCTCTGTGAGTTCAAGGCCAGCCTGGACTACAGAGTGAGTTCCAGGAAAGGTGCAAAGCTACACAGAGAAACCCTGTCTCGAAGAAAAAAAAATGTTCTTTGACCTCCACAGGCTATGGCACATGCACCCCCCTCCCACCACACACACCAGACAGGCACATAAGCATGAACACATTATGATTTTTAAAATAATGAGAAACAAAATTTAAAAAAAGAAAAGTTTTTGAAACAAGGTCTATGTAACTCTGAGTGTCCTAGAACTCTCTACATAGACTAGGCTGTCCTCTGCTGCCTCCAGAGTGCTGGGATTAAAGTTGTACACCATGTCAGCAAAAGACTTTCTTGAAGCAAACAATGCCCAATACACTCCAATGCAACCGTTTAGTCCACATTATGAATTCTGCTTTTCTTCTAAAACTGACACACACTGAAAGAAAAATAAACCCTATTTATCTAGAAACACATTATTTAGTATGTTTAAATACTGTATGAGTATATATGCCCAATTCTTTCATTTAGGAGAGGTACTGCCACACATAACCTAGCCTGCCATTTTTATTTTTCTTTAAAAGACTTATATTTAGCCTGGTAGTGGTGACACACACCTTTAATCCTAGTGCTCAGGAGGCAGAGGCAAGTGGATCTCTGCTGAGTTCTAGGACAGCCAAGGCCATACAGAGAAACCTTGTTTACAAAAACAAAACAAACAAAGATTTAGATTAGATTTTCATTATGTATCTGTTGTGGAATATTCTATTCCTTTACACCATGTGAAGATGTATCACTGTGACTGGTTTAATAAAAAGCTAATTGGTCAATAGTTAGGCAGGAGGTATACCAGGGACTTCTGGACAGAGAGTGCACTGGGAAGAAGAAAGGTGCCGTCACCAGCCTGGCAGAGAGGGTGCAAGACATGCAGTGGGACAGGTAAAAGCCACAAATCATGTGGCAACACGCAGATGAACAGAAATGGGTTAATTTAAGTTGTAAGAGCTGGTGGGACAAGCCTAAGCTATAGCCAAGTTTTTATAATTAATAATAAGTCTTCATGTCATTACTGGGGAGTCAATGGTCCCAACCAGAAATTCCAACTACATGTCTATGAGTGTTGAGTCTGTATGAGTGCAGGTGCCTGCTTAAGTGAAATTCCCTGAGGCTGAAGTTACAAGTGGTTGTGAGTCATCTAAATTCCTGCCCTCTAGAAGGTCATTTAGTGTTTTTAACTGCTGAGCTATCTCTCTAGCCCCTACCCTACCATTTTTTCCCTTCTCTCCCTCCCCTTCCTTTCAGACAGGGTTTTATGAAGTTCATAATAGCAATTAACTTCGGCAACTCTTGTCTCTACTTACTAAATGTTGTAATTACAGGTGTGCACTAAGACCACACCTATTTTTTTGTGGTGCTAGGGACTAAACCCAGGACTTAGTACATGTTAAGTAAACATTGTCAACTAAGCTGTATCCCAGACAAATGATACAACTGCAATCAGACAAGTTGGCAATGTTCTCAGAATCTTAATAATAGGAGACACTAGAATCCATGCAGCGCTAAATGTACAGTGACTAGGATTTATCAAATTATCTTCATTTTGAAAGGGAGGTGTTAGTCATGACTCTGACAGGTCATAAAAATAATAAGAACTGTCCCAGGCACATCAGACAATATGGTCATCCCCTGCTAGATCCCCAAGTTAGGGTGGTTTGTACAGAGCAGTGACAGTTCACAGCAGTGTTTTAGTGAGTGCTTTCAGCCTGCACTCTGCCACCCCAGCTGCACACATGCACTCAAGGAAGGAATGTATGTGATGGCGGATGTCGATCCTCAGTCAAGGATCTCTAAGTTGCTTTAGGAAATATTTGTTAAGGGCTCATATTTGTAAGGGGGACCTGAGAATTAGCCTCACTTGTTTTTTCAAAGGTATGTGCGCAAGTGTAAGTTGTTTGTTTCCTGATATACCAGTTATCCCATATAAAATGGTGCCAATTGATAGCTGGCTCAAGAGCCATGCCTGTCAATGAAGAGAAAAAGTGTCAGCCCTTAGCTATTTAGATTTAGGATAGGACACACATTATTAATGCTGGCATCTCCTCAAAATTTTCTTCCAGTCCTTTTGAGACTAACAGCTGTCTTCTATGAAAAATGTTAGCACTGTCATAAGAAAAAATTCATTCTCTTTGATGAACATTTGGGAACTTTAAGTGGGTGGGTGGAGAAAGAGTGTGATCACAGATGGCCTGTCATTCAGCTATGCCTTTGGATAGGGCACCTTTTCAGCTTCGGGGAGAAAGTGATGGAACATTCCGGGGGATAACTCTAACTTCCTGGATGTATCCTTGGGAGAAGAGCTACTCACCTCTGCTGCATCAAGATGAACAACCCAGCTTTGCCTAAGCTAATCTTTTGAAGGCAGCCACCAGGAAGGGGAGGGTAATTGAGGAAAGAAAGCAAAGCGGGGTGAATACCATCAAGAAGGAATATGGTGAGTGCAACCATCAAAGTACCTAGCTGGTTATAATAGTGACATACCAAACTGGGACTCTTTTTGTCCTCTCTTACTGATCTCTTGTACCGCTGGGCTGAACCCAGGTCACTGCTCAAGCTAGGCAAGTACTCATCATTAAGCTACACCCTAGTCACCAAAGTTAAGATGTCACCATTGTTTCTGGCTAATAACTCCTTCTCCACTGGAGGCCATACAAGCCTGAATTTCTCCTGCTCTTGCTCTTGTCTTACCTCCTACCAACCTTTCTACATAGGGACCAGCCATAACAAAATCACAGGATTTGCTGGGGCTGGTTGTTCATGCTGTAATCTCAGTAGAGGCAGAGCTGAAGCAAGTTTGGGATCAGTTGAACTGTGATCCTAACTAGTCTTAATCAATAAAAACCCGGAGTCAGATATCGAGGGTGAAAACTGAAAGATCAGAAAAAGCAGAGGAACAGCCCCTAGAAACTTCTTACCTCTACGAGTCCTCAGACTGAATGGGGGTGATCTTATCTCTACCCACCTTATATTCCTATCTCCACCTCCCTAGTGCTGGGATCAAAGGTGTGAGCCACCACTGCCCAGCTCTACTTCTCTTTTAGACTGGTTCAATCACATGTAGCCCACGGTGGCCTTGAACTCCTGATCTTCCTGCTTTCTCTTCCCAAGTGCTGGAATTAAAGGTACAAACCACCACTGCCTGGCCTCTATGGTCTAGTTCCACCCTCTGATCTCCAGGCAAGCTTTATTTGTCAAAACACAAAGTATCAGATAACAGTCAGCCTAGGCTATAGAGTGAGAACACATCTCAAAAACCAAACCCAGGAAATAAACAACAAAACCAAACCCAACAATAACAAAACTGTTTGGTTGTATCCTTGTCTGATAATATTATACTGATGGGCCTTGCTCTATGACCTAGAGAGGGAATACTGCAGAACAGCAAAAAACACTGATGAACACAGGCCCTCCCTGATTTCCCCATCCAGTCTACTGTAATTCAACTGCAATGATATAGCCATAAGGCACGGGACTCAGAAAGCAGTTTCCAAGTGTGGCAGGTCCAGAGAAGTCCTGTGTTCCTTCCTCTGGACCTTTTGCTTTGCATCTTTTCATGTGTCCCCTTTGTAAACAGATAAACTTGCTTCCCTGAGTCTGTGAGCAGATGAGCAAATCAGTCAAAGCTAAAGAAGGAAATATGGAAAGCATGGTTGATAGTCAGCAGGTCAGAACAAGAGTAAAGAACCTGGGGCTTGCAACTTGCATCTAAAGTGGAGGGCAGGAGTCAGGAGAATGGTTCGATAGGTAAAGGCCTTTGCAGCAGAGGCTAACCACCAGAATTTAATCCCTGGAAACCACATGGTGTATAAAGAATACTGAATATTGTAACTTGTCCTCTGACATTCCCCCAATGCACCAATTTTTTAAAAAAGTAATAAAAAGGATAGCAAGATAGCTCAGCGGGTTAAGAGTGCTTGCTACCAAGCATGGAGAACTAAGTTCACTTCCTAGAACTAATATGGTGGGAGGAAATAACCAACACCCTCCACACACATGACACCCAAACACACACACACACAACTAAAAAATGTAGTTAGGCATGGTGGTGCACATCTTTAATCCCAGCACTTGGGAAATTGAGGCAAGAGGACTGAGGCCAGCCTAAGCTACATAGTAAATTTTTAAAAATCAAATCAAACAATGCTACAGAACAAATAAAAATAATAAACTCAGATTTGATGTTTTAAGTGGAGTGAAAGTCTACCTCTCTATATCCTTACCATTGCTGAGCGAATCTGTGCTCCCAGGGCTGTGCTGTCTGGAGACCAGCTCAGTCCCAGTTTTCCTCATCTCTGTGTTTTCATTAAATCGCCTTTTCCAATAGTTGAGTTCTTCACGATCAGATTCCTGACAGCGCCTCAGAACCGCCATGGAGCGCCTTGTTTTCTCTACCATTTCCATAATGCAGTTCAGGGCCTGAGCCAGAGAGAAAGTGAGGCACAGGTAAGAAATTTAAATAAGGAACAATGAAGATCAAGGATGGACAAACATCACAGGACTCACAGATTTTTTTTTTTCAGGGCTGAGGACCGCCGAACCCAGGGCTTTGCACTTGCTAAGCAAGCGCTCTACCACTGAGCTAAATCCCCAACCCCATGAACTCACAGATTTTACAACCTTAGGAATAAAGTTTACGTCTCAAAGTCATCCTTTTAAAAAAAATTTACCAACACTTTTATTTATTTGTTTGTTTGTTTGTTTATTATGTATATAGTATTCTGTCTGCCTGTATGTCTGCCTGCAGGCCAGAAGAGGGCACCAGATCTCATTACAGATGGTTGTGAGCCACCATATGGTTGCTGGGAATTGAACTCAGGGCCTCTGGAAGAGCAGCCAGTGCACTTAACTGCTGAGCCATCTCTCCAGACCTCAAAGTCATTCTTATACCTTGTTTTTCCTTACTTTATTTATTTTATGTGTATGAGTGTTTTGTCCACCTATGTGTTGTCCTCAGAGATCACAGGAGAGAACAGGATCTCCTATTGTTACTGATGGTTGTGTCTGCCATGTGGATGCCGAGAAGCAGATCTGGGTCCTCTGTAAGAGCAGCAAGGGCTCTTAACCACTGAGTCATCTCTATAATCCCTCTTACACCTTGTTATTTTATATAAACAGCTATTTTTTCCTATCCATGGAGGTACTGGTTCTAGAACCCTCCGGGAACACTAAAAAAGTCACGAGTACTACAATTCCCTTATATAAAATGTGTGGAATTTGCATATAACCTGTGCACATCTACACACATACTTATGTCACTTCTAGATTAAAGTACCTAATGATTAAAAAAAAAAAAAAAAAAGACCTTTATACAGGCTAGCAAGATGGCTCAGGAGATAAGGAGTACTTGCTGCCCTTTGGAATTCTAGGGTGGAAGGAGAGAATTGACTCCTGAAGGTAATTCTCTGCCACATTCTCATTGTGGCACAACATACCACCACAACATACATACACAAAAGAAGTATGTTTTACAAAAGAAAAACTACTGGTCTGTAAGCTTACAGCTCAGTGAGTAAAGGAACTTTTCACCAAGCCTGAGTACCTAGTATCATAAGATAAATCTAGATGTTTTTATAATAATACAATCTGGGGCTGTCTCTGTGACAGACGCATGCATGTATGCATGCATGCATGCACAAATGCACTACCCCCCTAGGTAAGGGACCAGGGTCAATGATGACGGTGAGGACAGTAACAATGATATTCACATCTGAGGTAAGCCACAATGTGCTATTTTAAAGTAGGCAGTACCTATTTTTAGAGAGAAGGGATGCTCTCCTCTGATGGGAAAGAGAACCTGAGTCTGTATCAGCAAACTAATTCTAATTTGGATTTGTCTGACTTTCCATGCGACATACTCTATGTATTATTACAAATAATGCCAGTCTTTCTTTCTTTTCTTTTCTTTTTTTTGGAGACAGGGTTTCTCCTTGAACTCACAGAGATCTGCCTGGCTCTGCCTCCCAAGTGCTGTGATTAAAGGGGTGTGCCACTGTCGCCCCTTTCTTTCTTTCTTTCTTTTTTTTTTTTTAAGGAGAAAGATTACATAATTTTAGTGTGTGATTGTGTTTGTGTGCACATTCCATGGCCCATGAGTAAAGTCCGAGGACAACTTGTGAGAGTTGGTTCTTCCCCTCTATCCTGTGGGTCTTGGGAATCAAACTCAGTTTCTCAAGCTCGGCAGCAAGTGCCTTTGCCCACAGTCCTTCCACTGAACCTTATTTTTAAGGAGAGAAAAAATCAAGGCTAAATTTAGATGTAGGTAGCTTACTCAGCTCACAAAGGCACTAAGTAGCAAAGCTGGAACCTTTGCTTTAACTATCTATTACGTGACTACTTGGTTTACGAACTGGAGAGATCAAAATCAGCCTATCACCAAGATTTAGGAGTGACTACAGCAAGTGGTGAATAAGCCAACTTCTGTTAAAAAGTAAGGTCCACTTCAGGCGGGCGGCGGTGGCACAAGCCTTTAATCCCAGCACTCGGGAGGCAGAGCCAGGTGGATCTCTGTGAGTTTGAGGCCAGCTCCTAGTCTAAAGAGGGAGATCCAGGACAGGCACCAAAACTACACAGAGAAACCCTGTCTCAGGGAGGGAAAAAAAAAATTAAGTCCACTTCAAGCACACATGGACTACTAGTAGCATTAAGAATTAAATGAGCTGGATGCAGTGGTGCATGCCTGAATAGGAAAGTGAGAAACAAAAGTGGGTGGGCAAAATGATTAAGAATGTAAATGACAATTGCTGCCAAGCCAGAAGACAAAATAGTTCCTCTGAATCTCCACATTCAAGTTATGGCATGTACACAAAGTGCATGCATGCAAGCATTAATGTGCACACAAATATACATCAAACCCACAAATGGACAAATAACAAAAAGCAAAACAAACTCTAAAGATTTATAAGTAATAAGGACTTAGGGAAATTAAACATGCTGAGATTCTTACATGGTCAAGATGTTTCCATTCATCAGCCCATTCCCTTTCTGTCAAACGGTGGTCTACCAACTCATCTTGATAGCCTCCATTCAGACCTATTAGAAACAAGGGATTACATTTAAAGAATACAGAGCAACTGAATTCTAACGAGTGTACACATAGTTGTGTTAACTTAGAGCACACTACTAAGGGAGTAAGTTAACATATCTGGTATGAGACCCACAAAATGACACAACCATTAATGTTAAGCAATAAAGAGTTAGTATTCAGATCAAATAACTCCAGGGACTGAAGTATAGCTCAGTGATAGAATGCTTAACTACCATACACTAGGCCCTGAGTTCCATTGGCAGCATTTTTGGGGCACGACTCCTAAACTCTGAACAACTCAATTGTAAAGACAAGAAAAACAATCACACCAGGTTCTATCAGAAGGAAGTACATATCATTCATAAACATCTTCTAAGTTGTCAGGGGCTATGTCCCTTTCCTTTGTTCACATTAGCATTTCATAGCCAACATTCTGGAAAATAAAATGTCAGAAATACTCTGTTGAGTTGGGTATCTATGGTGGCTTGAGTAAGAATGGCCCCACAGGCTCACATAATTGAATGCTTAGTCACCAGAGTGGCACTGTTTGAAAGGATTAGGAGGTATGTCGCTGGAGGTGGGCTTTTTTTTTTTTTAAAGATTTATTTATTTATTATATATACAGTGTTTTTGCCTCCATGCCAGAAGAGGGCATCAGATCTCATTATAGACAGGTGTGAGCCACCATGTGGTTGCTGGGAACTGAACTCAGGACCTCTGGAAGAGCAACCCTCTGAGCCATCTCTCCAGCCCTGGGGGGTGGGATTTGAGGTTTTAAAGACTCATGACAGGCCCAGTGGCTCTCTCTTCCTGCTGCCTTCAGATCCAGACCTCTCCAGCACCATGTTTGCCTGTGTGCTGCCATGTTCTGCCATGATGCTAATGGACTAAACCTCTGAAATTGTAAGCCAGCCCCAATTAAATGCTTTCTTTTATAAGAGTTGCTATGGTAATGGTCCCATATATTGCACTGACTATAGATCCTAAAATTACAGATCTAAGGTAGGCTATAGTGTCCATAGATTTCATTCTAGGAGAGTAAAGGGGAGTGGACGTATTGATTCAGTTACGGGGAGGGGCATGTGGTGGTTTGATGAATGCAGACCAGTATAAGAGTACAGGTCTAAGGAAACTTTGATGAATCTGGTGGATTCATCATGGTAGGTGACCAATACTTCCAGATGTAAATATACATTTTCTAAAATCATGAGAAATACAAGTAAATCGAACAAAATATAGTTATACCTAGTGTCTTAGGGTTTTTATTGCTGTGAAGAGACACCTTGACCACAGCAACTCTTATAAAGAAAACATTTACCTGGGGGCTGGCTTATAGTTTCAGAAGTTCAGTGCATTATCATCATGGTGGGGAGCATGGCGGCATGCAAGTAGACTGGGTGTTGTCTACATCTTGATATGCAGGCCACAGGAAGTCAACTGACAGTCATGCTGAGGGAATTTTGAGCAAGAGACATCAATGCCCACCCCCACAGTGACACACTTTCTCCAACAAGACCACACCTCCTAACAGTGCCATCCCTTTGGGGGTCATTTTCTTTCAAACCACCACACCTAGCTTTCACCATTCTTCTCTTTTAAATGGGCAGAAACTGTGTATGAATGTGGTGATATTTTGTTCCCCAATATATTGTAAACACTAATAAACTTATCTGGGGTCAGAGAACAGAACAGCCACTAGATATAGAGGTCAGAAAATGGTGGCACACCCGCCTTTAATCCTAGTATTCTGAAGGCAGAGATCTGTCTGAATCTCTGTGAGTTAAAAGCCACACCGAAAACAGCCAGGTACGGTGACACATGCTTTTAATCCCAGGAAGTGATGGCAGGAAGCAGAAAGGTATGTAAGGCGTGAGGACCAGGAACTAGAGCCTGGTTAAGCGTTTAGGACTCTAACAGCAGTTCAGCTGAGATCCATTCAGGTGAGGCTTCCAGTATGAGGAAATGAGATCAGCTGAGAAGTTGTTGAGGTAAGGTTAGCTGTGGCCTGTTCTGTCTCTCTGATCTTCCAGCATTCACCCCAATAACTGGCCCCAGGTTTGTTTTTATTAATAAGACCTTTTAAGATTCATGTTACATATGAAGAGAAAAAAAATCAATAGCAAGCTTAGTTCTTAAAATGAATTTAATATTATTGTTTATGTCTGTGTGCGCGCATGATGATGATTATGATGACACTTGGAGGTCAGAGAACAACTTTCTGGAGTTAACTGTCTCCAGGAATCAAACTCCAGTCCCCAGGCTTACATGGCACGTACCTTTATTCACTAAGCCATCTTGCTGACCCCCAGCCTAGGTTTTAACAAACAAAAAGGCATGGGAGAGTAAGAACTGGAAACCAAGGATGGTGTGTCTCAGCACCTGCTGCCGACATGGCCAACCTCAACATCAGGTGGTTCAGGACTGAATCTGGTCAAGGCCACTTACTAGCTATGTTACAGTGGGTACAGTTGCTCTGACCTTCTGGAAAGACAGAATCAAATGATGCAGACAATGCTCTCATGGCTGTCACCCTCAGTGAGAACTGCAGGAAGCATGAGACCCTAGTGAGGGTATGCCTAGGTCAGAGTGGGAAAGTCAATGTGTTCTCCACAAGGTACCCCTGCAAATGGAGTGCAAAAGAAACCCTACAAGATGGCAGCCTTTTGTTTTGTTTTTCTGCCTGATAGATGCTGAGGAATTAAAATCCAAAGATTCATCTACAAAAGAGAATGTGACAAAAAGCTATTTTCAAAACTTATCTCAAATTAGGACTCTGTGGTGTTTTTTGCTTTTTGTTTTTAAAGACAGGGTTCCTCTGTGTAGTTTGTGCCTGTCCTGGATCTCGATGGGTTTTTTTTTTTGAGTCTTTATTCCTAAATTTAATAGTTACATAGGTCTATGCTTCAGGCATTTCAAACCTAACAAAAGAGCAGAGAATAATGTTATCTTCATTCATTTCAGAAGTTATTACTCTTAGGCTCAAGAGCCCAAGCAATATCTATGGTGATATTTTATTTGTGCTGAAATGTGATTTTATTTGTATGTTAATAAATAAAGTTGCCTGGGGATCAGAGCTAAGAGCAAGCCATTTAGCAGAAGTCCGGAGGTGGTGGCACATGGCAGGCAGAGTCTCTGTGTGTTCAAGGACACAGCCAAGCAAGCGGTGATCTGAATCTTTAATCTCAGTACGAACCATAGAGACCTGGAGGTCTGTATAGACAGGCAGTGACAAGGAAATCATGTGGTTGGGTTTAAAGCCAATGAGAAGGTAGAACAGAAAGGCAATAAAAAGACAGGACACAGGAAGAAGGTCTCTCTCTCAGGGGAAGGACAGCATCGAGTGGGAAGCTAAAGGCTTTGCTACTGCTCTGACCTCTTGGGCTTTTAACTCTGCATTTGGCTCTGTGTTTCTTATTTAATAAGACCGTTTAGAATTGCATCTACAAATATCCATCAGGTTACACATGTGGCACCAAAGCCCCTCTAACTGGCCTAACCCTAACCCTAACCCTAACCTAACCCTAACCCTCATGGTAAATCACGAGAGCCTCAAACTTGGGGTGATTCTTCTGACTGCTAAGATTACAGATGTGTGCTACCATGCCCAGCCCTTTATTTTTTGTCTATAGCACAGGCTAGCCTTAAACTCCTTATGTAGCTGAGGATGACCCTGAGCTGATCACCCTACCTCAGCCTCTATAGTATTAGAATTATAGGCACGTGCCACTAAGTCTAGCTGCATAACATCATCTTATCAACAGAAAAAAGGCAATGATGATATTATTTGGCTTTATCACTGAATAGGAAAGCAAGCCACAGATTTCCTCCAGATTAAAGCAATGTTGTGCAGCTGAGATCACTTACTAAGATTGTGGTGCCTCTCACGAACTTCTCGGTGTTCTAGCATCTTGTTGGGTTCCCGATAAAGGTGAGAAGTTGCAATGTCTTCTAAAGTATAGTGCTGAAGAGGTGGTGGGGTAGGATGGAACTGGCCCCCAGGATTCATGAGGGGCACAGTGAGGGCAGGACTGTGCCGGGGAGCAGGGCTGATAGTACATACTCTCTTGGCAGGTGGTTCAGGAGGAACTGTATCTCTTTCAAAACTATTCTCTTCCCTCCTGTAGAAGAATCAGAAGTGCTTATAGGAGCCTGTCAAGAAGAGCTCATGTTAACATCCCTACCAAGTCTCAGGACAGCTGCTTCTTTCCAGCAACTCACCTCACAGAAAGCCCAACCTTCAGATACTATGCACTTTCCAAAGCAGGAATGGTTATTTGGTGCTGCAGCCCATGTGCTAAGCACATGTTTCATACTGCTACACTCCCAGCCCAGCAGTCCATATCTCAGTATGTTTCCCAGACTGTTCTTCAGCCAAACTCCAGAGATCGGACTTCAGGGCCTCTGCAGTAGCTGTGACTTCTGGTGTGTGTGCCCGTACCCAGCTCAGGAACGGTTTAACAAGAGGCATGAACTGAACTGTCTTCAGGGGTCAGACACAACGTGTAAATGTTTGTTTATTCCAGTGTGAAGAAGAGAGGTCCAGTAAGCAAAACCATCTAATTATGACACAGGACAGGAGAAACTGACAAGGTTTGACAAAGTTTAGGAATGCTGAAGGTCAAATTTGACATTATAGAGGTGAGCAGCTGGGAAGAAAACTGCCTCTGTGACTTGGCAGGGTTTTAGTCACTCAGCTTCAACTGTAGCAAACTATTGTTCACAATACTGCTTCGTCAACAACTCCTGCATTATTGTGGCATGATTATATTATTCACAGTCACGACCTGAGACCTGTCATGAGCGGAGTCTTCTTCATTCAACTTGTGGAGCCGGCTACATCTCGAGGTAGAGGACGACAGTAAAGGACAGACTAACACTGGCTGTAGTGCTGCTGCTTACCAGATGTGAAGGCCCCACACATCTGATAAAAGACATCTTTTTTGCTCTTGGCTGAATGAGAAAGAGCGAGGGACTAGGTGTTCCATTTCTGGAGCAGTGACCCTGTCTAAACTCTAGGCAAAGCTCCTCAACAGGAATGTGCAGTGAGGCACCCAGAGAGGTGTTGCGACAAAGGAAAACTAATCTTGGAAAGTCTAAGACATTATCTGTCTACAAATCAACCACCAAACCCTCAGTCTTTTAAAGCAAAGAGCAACTCCAGGAAAACAGAACAGATCTCTTCTCTGCTCACCTTTCTGGACTGGGCCTCTTCCCATTTCCATGAACCTCCATAAGCAGTTCAGAAGAGTCAGCAGGAGATGCGATACTGGTGTTGAGCAGAAGGTGCTCGTGCTGAGCCAAGTACTGGGATGGGGTCTGCTTGGCAGCCCTGGCACAGTGCAGCAGTTCTCGCTGCAGCAGGGGCAGGTTGGCCTTGAAAAGAAAGAGGCAGTTTTCCCATCTGCGGAGCCCTACCTACAGAGATTAGCATCTCAATGAGATCTCACAGACCAAAGGCCCTCTTTGCTCTCTCCTTCTAACACTAACTAGTAAAGCGACATCATCAAAGCAGTAAAGGGGCATTTTTATTTGAGTCACAGTTGGTCTGTTTCTTCCCCCAGGAAGAGGTCAATCCTCTTAAAGGAACTGTATCTTAGTTACTTCTGTGCCCTGATACAGAGCACAATAAAGGTTTGTCGAACACAGAATTTAAAAACATACATTTTTCTTTTTTTCTTTTAAGATGTCTTTTATTTTGAATTGTGTGTTTGTGTTTGGGTATGTGAGCGCAGATGCTGGAGCTGGACGTACAAGGGGTTGTGAATCACGGCACTATTGGCGCTGAGCATCAGGCCCAGGCCCTCTACAAGAGCAACAAGCACTCTACCACGGGGCTGTCTCTCCATCCTGACACATACATTTCCAGCAAGGGTTTTTCAGTCTGGGAAGTAGGACCAAGGCCAAATGCAGACACAGCAAACACTCTATTGCTAAACTGCATCTCCAGCACCCAGAATACATATTTTCTTGAAGACTAGCCAGTTAGAGAATTACTATTGCCTAAAAAGGAGAATTACAGGCCCTGTTTTCTCTCTTCTGAATCACAACCCTACTCTGACGGTGGCACTCAACCTTCTCTTAGGGGAGAAGATTCTACAATCTGGAGAGATTTTGGAATCCTAGAAACCAGGATTACTCCAGAAATGCAGTTCTAAAGAGGAGTGCTGGGAGTAACATCATCTGGAAAAGGAAAAGGATGTTCTGCTATTTTTCCTTCTCATATTGAGAAAACTTTTGGTAGATAAAAAACAAAACAAACTGGGCTGAAGAGATGGCTCAGTGGTTAAGAGCACTGACTGATCTTCTAAAGATCCAGGTTCAATCCCCAGCACCCACAAGGCAGCTCACAACTGTCTGTAACTCCAAGATTTGACATGCAGGCGAAACACCAATGTACATAAAATAAAAATAAATACATTGTAATAAACAAACCCACAAAAATTCTCTATACTTTTAAACTTCAGAATTCAAATTCTTTTTCTATAATCAAAAAGGTTTTTCCCCTAAATTTAAACAATTCAGGGAGAGCCTATAACAAATACCTTTACCTCAAGGGACAAATGAACAAATGAGAAGTTTTAATACATGCAAGCAGTCACCCCCTCACTGAGGGTTAATTTAGCAGGCACCATAATTAGTGGCTGTTTAAAGCAGAAATAAATTGACGAAACCTCAAATGCTAGCCAAAAAGCTGCCGTAACAACCTACCTCATGCTGTTTTCCAAATAACATAGTTAAGACTAGAGAATCTGACAATATGAAACACTTCTGAAGTCTGCTCTAGAATCTCAATCTTATAACTGTAAAAACTTAATTAAAAAGGAACACATGTCAGATCTTTACATTTGTGACATGTGTCCTTTGGAGAATACAGGAAAAGCATAGCTAATTATGTTCTCTTAACACAAATCTCATGAATTGTTTTCTGATTCAGGAGTCTCGGTGAATAACTGTCTATAGATTCAGCTATAAAGAAAAGACAAGATGGGCAGTAGTGGTGCATGTCTTTAATCCCAGCACTCGGGAGGCAGAGGCAGGTGGATCTCTGTAAGTTCGAGGCTAGCCTGGGCTACAGAATGAGTTCTAGGAAAGGCGCAAAGCTACACAGAGAAACCTTGTCTCAAACAACCAAAAAAAGAAAAAAAGAAAAAAGAAGGTAACAGTATATGTTTTTTTAGGGAGAAGGGGTAATATTTAATTTAATTGGATTTCAAGTGGGTATTCCTCAGCATTAAATCAACTGCAAATGTTCATCTGTATACAGCATTCTTAGCGTTACAAAACCACATGTGCTAGATTTGTTCACACTAGTTGTTCAAAGTAATCTTTCATTTCCTTTGAGCTATTACCTATGTAACTTAAAAGTAGCTGATATAAGTAAAATTAACTGTTATATTTGACATGAATTGTTTCTGGGAGAAAGCCACCTTAGAATGAGTTTTGTGTTTATAGCAGCACCCAGCTCAATTCTTAACTTAAAAACATCAAATGAATTTAAGCTTCGAGGAGAGAAAGTTCCAAAACAAAACAAGCAGAGCTTCTTTACAATCAATGAAGCCGTCTAAACCATGAAGCTCTTGGGGCTGGAAAGATGCTCACACTTAAAAAGCACTTCTCGCTGGGCGGTGGTGGCGCACGCCTTTAATCCCAGCACTAGGGAGGCAGAGCCAGGCGGATCTCTGTGAGTTCGAGGCCAGCCTGGTCTCCAAAGCGAGTTCCAGGAAAGGCGCAAAGCTACACAGAGAAACCCTGTCTCGAAAAAAAAAAAAGCACTTCTCTTGATCAAGTTAAATTCACAGCACCCATTATCAGGAGGCTCAACACCAGCAGTAAAGCCACCTCCAAAGGATCTAACACCCTCCTCTGACCGCAGCAGGCACCCAACAATCGCATGTAGTTATACACACAGACACTCATATACGTGGTTAAAAATAAAATTATTCCAAGTTGTAACACTCATTAAAATGAGAAATTGATTCAGATTAATACTATACAATTATAGTGGAACCATGATTAAATATAGACCCAGGACCATGCTCCCCACATTAAACAAAAAACATGGTTCTTCACCAGAGCAGCAGAGCCAAAGTGGAGCACACCTTTGATCCCAACACTCCGGAGGCAGAGGCGTGTGGATCTCTGAGTTAGAGGCCAGCCTAGACTACACAGAGCGAGATCCAGGACAGCCAGGGCTACACAGAAGAAATCCTGTCCCCAAAACATTGACAAAACAAAAAGTCTTTTAGAATGCATCTCTCCATTTCTGAGATGGCAAAAGCATCATTAATGGTGGCAAGTACTTCACACAAAAGCTCTAGTCTTTTAAGGGCATCAAGAGCAGGAACTAGCTATTGCTATAGGATTTGTGTTCTGGGCAGACAAGAATTCTGAATTTGTGTGTTTTGGTGCCACGCCACATTTTTTCCTTATGCTCCTTATTAGGGACTACTTGTCCCTCAAGCCCTTTTCAGATACTACATATATTAGCAGAGTAGAAAAAGTAAGAGCAAAGGTACAAAGACTAACTAGACCACTGGGATGCACCAGGAAGGTATTTCCTCCCCATATCTACCTCAGTTGTATGAGAGAAGGCCAGTAGAAAGGAGGAAAACAGCCTTCAAATAGCATCCGTGGCAGAAACTGGTGAGCCAAATAACAAACTCTTTTCTCCTAGCATTCCAGCCTAGATTTTCTATCCTTTGCTGTACCTGGGTGATACCATGTGACTAAGTCCTGAACAATGAAGAGATAGAGACACAGGGAGTCACAGACAGACAGACACAGGTGCCAATCTCAGACCTGACTCCTTCAAAATCCTTTATATGCAAGCATTCTCTCTAGCTCGCTCTCTCTATCTCACCCCTCAGTCGTCAGCTGACTGAATTTGTGTTCAATCATCTAGTAAGCCACAGGTTGAAGATTTTAGAATTTTCCTCAGTCTCTAGTCTTGAATGATGTTGGGGAGAAAGGCCCTCACTCCCAACTCCCTTTACTAGACTGTTTTGTATGACTAAGGAATACATCAATTTATTAAAGCACACACACACATAAAGGCTTAATTTTGCTGTGAAGAGCATTAGTGGGACACTGCTAAAACATACGTAAGGTCTGTACACCAGACATCCAGTGTTGTCTGAATGCTAACGGGCGCTGGACACCATTCCTTGAGAAAGCCCTTGTTTGGCATGCTTGGAGCCCAAAGTTGGGTCCCTAGTATTAAGAAAAAAGAAAATTCTTGATTTGGAAATTTAGATGTATCACATTTACAGCTCTCTTTAATTTCAGAAGAAAAATAGGAAACGATTATGAAATGATACTGTTCGGAAAACTGGTTTTTTTTTTTTTGGCTTTTCCGCCCGGCGGAAAACTGGTTTTGAGACTGTATCCTTTTACAGCTTATCTGTGAGCATGAAATTACTTCAAAATGAAAACACTTTTAAGAAAGTAAGCATGGTAATTTAGAACCGCGTGCCCAAAAGGTGTGTTCCAGGAAACAATAACTCTAGAGGACATGAATTAGACTGTATTATCTGGGGTTTGAGGAAACACAGCCACTGCCTTCTCACATCCTCCTGAAACAACTGCACAAGCCTCTCTTTGTAGAGTCTCCGCGCAGATAACACATACTTTTCATCTTCAGACCACACCCAAAAGATCTAGTGGTATTTCCTCCATTTTAGTCCTTTCTTCTCTCCTTATTCCTTTACTTGCTCCTGGATGCTACCTATAGTGTTTGCGAACAGAATTCATTCAAAACACTGCAGTTCTCATCATGTAAGAGGCTAATTTACATACTGTTTACTACCAGCCCCAGATAAAACAAAGATATGAAACTGCAGCAAGCTGTTCTGAGAGCATGGAGCAGGGATCAGCAGATCTTGAGGAAATGCTGATGATAAATTATAATGAATGCCTCTGAATTACCTTGAGAAACGGAATCACAAATGGACGAAGAGGAAAGTTTGTAGCCTCTTGGAGCTTGCAATGGAATTCTTCAATTGTCACTGTTGAGTTCTGAAAAGACAAATAATGTTCAACATACAAAACTGGGCACAGCAGCAAGAAGAAGTAGATTAAATGTATGGAAAGACCAAAGGAATGATCTAAAGTTTTGCTATGGATGGACAAAGTGATAGTACAGATTAGCAGCAGACAATAAAGGACTCAGGCCAGAAGCACAGACTCAAGGCCGCATGTTTGGACAAAATAGGGCAGACTAGATCTCAGAGGAATGAGCTGTCGTACCAGACTGCCTTCAGTCAACCGTTAATTCACAAAAAGCCTAACTATTTCCTTTTTGTTTAGTTTAGCTGTCTTTCCCGTCTCTAGAGAATACAGTCCAGCAGGAAAGCAGACTACAAAGTTTCTTGTATTGTAATAGTACTATGACTAAGTGGGTGAAGGTGCTTACTACCAGACGAAAGTTCAATCTGGTTGTCTTCTGGCTTCCATGCATTTACAGCGGCACAAGTGTACACTCACATTAGATAAACATCATTTTTTTAATCTATCTGTTTTGATTTTTGAGACAGGGCCTCATTATGTAGTCTTGGCTGGCTTGAACTCAAGAGATTCTCCTGACTGCCTCCAGAGTGTAAGAATTAAAGGCTGGCACTACTACATCTAGCACTACATGTAGTAATTCTTTTTAAAGGCTCAGAAATGGTTATTTTTGGGAGACAGAAAATTCAAAGGGTAGGATGTTAGGAGATTTAGTCTCAAGGGAACATCTACAATGGACTTAGAAGATAAAGCGCAGGAACAGAGATAGTCCCCCATACTTTGTTTGGTGGGAACAGGATCTCTATGGCACTGAGGCTGGCCTGGAACAGCTTACTGAGTGCTAGAATTATAGACATACAAAATTATGTATAGCTTTACAATTTTTTGAGATAAATTATAGTCTAACAAAGTTGCAAAAAGAAACTAGAGGGGATGGAGAGAAGGCTAAGCAATTAGACACAAGGTTCCATTCCCAGTACCTACGTGATGGCTCACAACCAGCTGTAACTCCAGTCTTAAGGGGATCTAATGCCCTCCTCTGGCCTCTGAAGTTACCAGACATGTATGTGGTACATAGGCCTACAAGGAGGCAAAGCACTTATTTACATAAAATTATAATTTTAATTAGAACTTTGGGGCGGTGGTGGCGCACGCCTTTAATCCCAGCACTCGGGAGGCAGAGCCAGGCGGATCTCTGTGAGTTCGAGGCCAGCCTGGTCTCCAAAGCGAGTTCCAGGAAAGGCGCAAAGCTACACAGAGAAACCCTGTCTCGAAAAAACCAAAAAAAAAAAAAGAACTTTGTAACTTTTTTAAGCTACAAAAAAAATTTAGAAAGGTTACACACAATGGGCCGTTTCTAACATCTCATGAAACTCACACTGATACAGTGTAAACCAAAAAAGATTTATTTTTGTTTACTGTGTATGAGTTTTGACTGCATGTATGCACATGTAACATGTGTTTGGTGCCTGTGGAGGCCAGAAGATGGTGTCATAACCCTGGAACACATCCATACCATGCATACACTAAATAAATAAAACTAAAAATAAATAAAAATATATGGAAAAAAAGGGGGGAAAGCCAGGCCTTCATGGAAGAGCAGACTATTAGCTAATTTGAGAATGTGGATGGCAAAACTTGTACAATGATATAAAACTTTCCCTAATTGAAAAGGTAGAAGCAATAACCTAGTGTTCCTCATACAGGACAAATGGATAAGCAAAATGTTGTATACACAGATAACAGAATATGCCTTAACCTTTAGAAAAACATTTTCAGCCTGCCATGGTGCCTTTAATCCCGGCACTTGGGAGGTAGAGGGAGGTGATCTCTGTGAGTTCTAGGCCAGCCTGGTCTACAAAGTTCCAGGCCTGCCAGGACTGTTACACAGAGAAACCTTGACTCTAAAAACAAAACAAAACAAAACAAAACAAAAAAATCACATTTATTACATCACTGTAGAACCATGAAAAGGTTTGGGGTGTAGCTCTGTTGGTACAGTGTTTGTCTGGTGTATATGAAGACCTGAATATGATCCCTAGTACTTCCTAAACTGAGCATGGTAGTACATGATTATAATTCCAGCACTAGAAAGGTGGAAGCAGAAAAGTAAGTAGTTGAAAGTCATCCTCAGCTACACAGTGAGTTAGCTGGGGCTACATGAAACATAATCTAGAAAAACCAAACAGATGAAAAATAGTTAGTTCTCCAGATGAATGATGGTGGTGGTAGTGGTGACAGAGATGCCACAACCATGGCAATGCACTGCACTAGAAACCTAAAGGGGATAAAACAGGCTCTCATACCACTAAGCGCCACAGACACAGCACCAGAGCAAGTGAGGGCTGGGAAGGCTCTGGGCTGAGGAACGCCAACCCAACACAAGCAAAGGAGATCCTGAGGATGCAACACACTCTTCTGGTTCTTTGAGAACTACATAATTGTGGTGCACAGACATACATGTGAAACACCCACACATATAAAATAAAAATAAATAAATCTTGGAGCTGAAGAGATGGCTCAATGTTATGAGTATGGCTGCTCTTCCAGGAGACCTGAATTCAATTCCTAGCACCCACATGGCAGCTTATAATGGTCTGTAACTCCTGTTCCAGGGAACCCAACACACATGCTTTCTGGCATCCTCTGACACTGCACACACGGTGCACATACATATATACAAGCAAAACACTCATACACATACAACAAAAATAAACTTTAATAAAAAGGTTAGTCTCAGTTTAATAATGCTAATTATTCTATCATAGTTTAAATTCTGACTAATAAGTTGGTTTTTGCTAAATAAATAAATAAATGCACAGAATAAAACCTCACACTTTCTCTAAGTGATAGAAATGGCTCGCTGTTACTGTTTCTGGTTATGCTAAAACATGGGATTCTATAGAAGAGGAGCTAGGCATACGTGGTCCACAAGACCCAGCCACAATCAGAGTCTTTACAGGATTCTTTGGGCAGAAGCACTGCATACATTTTCTTTGCTTTGGGGATAGTGTGTTCTGTGTAATCATGAAATGGGGAGAGCATTAAGGAAGCTGGCACATGGATTCCTCCAGAGTCTGCCCATGTACATCTCCTTTACGATCTGCCTGTCTATTTTTATTATGTCTCTGGAATAAATGTTAGCTGTGAGCACCACCATATGTCAATCTGGAAAAGGAACCAATCTACAAACACAGGGCAGTATTAGGGACCCCCGACACGCTGCCACAAATGCAAACAATTCAAATGTTTACCAAAAGCAAAAATGTATAAACTGTGCTATAATAAAACAGTACAACAAAATGATGGTAACTCATGCCTGAAATCTTCGCACTAAGGAGGTAGAGGCAGGAGATCAAGAGTTCGAGGTCCTAGACTACACAGAGTTCAAGACCAGTCGTCCTACATGAGACCGTTTGTTTTTGTTGGAGATAGGGTCTTATACAACGCCTTGCTGGACAGAAAATATGTAACTTAGGATAATTTTGAACTTCTGATCTTTATGCATAAATATCCAGAGTACTGGGATTGTACCCAGGACTGTGGACACTAGACAAGTAATCTACCAACTGTTTCCATGTACTGCCCTCCAGAACCCAAGGGGTTTTCCCTAAGTTATATTTTGAGAGGAAATACAACTTTAAGGACTAGTACAATAATTCAGCTTTTCATCATAAAGAGAAGTTAACATGTGGGAAAGAAAACAGAATGCTTTTATGAGGAGTGAATATTAAGAGTATTTCATTTGGAAACACTGAGAACTGGTAGCATTTCCCTTATAAATTGAGAATATTCAATCTTCCCCAGATGGCAACACAGAAAGTTAATCCTTTATAAGCAGGCTCACTCAGTATAGAAAGAAAAACTAAAGAAACTACGCACATGGAGCTGAACAACATAACTGCATAGGAACTATTTATTTAGCTCATTAAACTTCTAATTTTACAAAATATTGTTTTGAAAATTAAAACTGGTTTGCAAATAATGTACCAGCTACTGAATATGCTGACATACAAACAATCTTCTATTAACTTGGTTGGACTTCAGCAGGCCTGCTGAAAGCTGTTTAAGACAAATCCAAAGCTGCTTACTAGAATTAAATCCGCACCTTAGATAATAAGACATATTATAGATTCTTTGGCAAATAAAAACTGCTATGAAATCGATAATTCAACAGTTTTTAAAAATTTGCTGAACAGCTAAAATAGTCCATACTAGCTACATGGTTTGGGAATGAGCAGGAATATCGTAACTTCTTAGGCAGCTGGTAAAGGTGAAGCCATACTTACCACCAATGCTAGAACCAGAGTTCGAACCTTCTCGCCAATCTCAGGTGAGATGTCATTGCCAAACTGTTGCAGAGTAGTGAGAAAGCGTTTCAACTTGCTGAGCTGCCGAGCACCACAAGTAGCTGGCAACTGTTGATTTGTTAATGCAGATGATGTGGAAGAGGCAGGACCATTGCTGAATCTCTGTGGTGGTGATGGGGCACCATTCAGGGTAGGAGGGGAATGGTTGATGCCATTGCTTACTAAAAGAAAGCCAGAATAAGAAGACTCAGTTGAAGTACAGTAAGAGTCTTTGCTGACTTCTTCACCTTTATGGTCTCTTTCACTACTCATTTGAATTCTGTAAAGCATTTTAGTATTTAAAAAAAAAAAAAAAAACCAAAAAACTGGCTCCCATCATCAATGAGATTGCTGTGTACCAAGACAGACTATCAAGAAAAAATGGCAACAGAATATTGTACAAGTGTTAACATCTAAGTATGATGATATGTGCTTGTGCTGTAGTCATGGCTACTAGAGGGCTGCAATGGGAAAACTGTGTATGCCCAGGAATAGGAGGCTAGCCTTAGTAAAATAGCAACATTCCATTTAAAGCAAGCAAGCAAGCAAACAAATAAACAGATGGAGTGGGAGATGGGAAGGCAGGGTAGAGAAGGGAACATGGGAAAGATAACATTAAAGGCCTTTTAAAAAAGGCCATATAAAAACAATATTGTAAAGCTGGGCGGTGGTGGCGCATGCCTATAATCCCAGCACTTGGGAGGCAGAGGCAGGCAGATCTCTCTGTGAGTTCGAGGCCAGCCTGGTCTACAGAGTGAGTTCCAGGACAGGCTCCAAAGCTACACAGAGAAACTCTGTCTTGAAAAAAAAAAATAAAAAACAACTTAATATTATAGAAGCTTCATTCATATATATGTATACACACACACACACACACACACACACACACACACACACACACACACACACACAAACATGCACATACACACACATTTCAAATGGAGATGCTCTATGATGAAGGAACAAGACCCCAACTACATAGCTGATACTACCAAAGAAAATCCTGGATAACCTCTTTTTGAGCTACTGGAGTCCAGAGACCATCCCAACCCCAAACATTACAGGCTTTTGCCAATGCTATTTGTTACCCTCCAGAACTTGTTTTTAAAACCCTACTGCTGGAGACACCAATCGGTCATCAAACATGGAGAAATCTAGCTGTACTTAACTAGAAGCTTCACCCCTACTGGCTAGTGTTCAGAGTGTTAAAAAGGTGCTATGCATGCTACCGGAGGACAAAACAGAAAATAAGTCACTCTTGAATCCAGCTATGAACTATGTGAGATACAATAAAGACCCACTTGGCAAGACATGCTCACTGGCATAAATATTATAGGAGTAAACCACTTTTTGAATGGATTTAAGGCCTGCTCCACAAGACAGAACCTGTATCTGATAACTGTCAACGAGGCCAAGAACCTATGGCTAGATGAGTCATAAGACCTAAGGGAAAACCTACTATTGTTATTTGTTAAATGTACATAGCAATAAAACTACTTCTAATGATTTATTTCTACATGCATAGATAAATGCATCACTAAACTCTCACCAGAGAAGCTTCTTCATGCAGCAGATGGCTGCTAACACAAAAACTCACAACTGGTCAACATGTATAGAAAAAGAGACTTCAGAATACTCAACTCTAAACAGGATGTCTATTATTATATTCCTCCCCTCTCCCCTCATGGCTTAGGGATCTATGAGAAAGACTATAAGATCCAGAGATGGTGGACATCTTCATGGAAACAGTGTTTTCCACATACAATAAGGTAGATGCACATATTAACTTATAGAGATTGACTGTGAATGCATGCACAAGTTCAAGCCAAACAAAATTTCAGCATAGAAGAGGAGATGGGGCCGGGCGGTGGTGGCGCACACCTTTAATCTCAGCACTTGGGAGGCAGAGGGAGGCGGATCTCTGTGAGTTCGAGGCCAGCCTGGTCTACAAAGCGAGTTCCAGGAAAGGTGCAAAGCTACACAGAGAAATCCTGTCTCAAAAAAAAAAAGAAGAGGAGGAGGAGGAGGAGATGGGCACAAAGTTGTCATGTGTCTCCCGCCCCCCGCCCCATGAGAAGCTAATGGCATTTGATTCTTTTTGTTATTGTAGCTGTTGGTGGTTGTTTTTCGAGATAGAATTTCTCTGTGTTAACAGCCTTAGCTGTCCTGGAACTCGATTTGTAGACCAGGCTAGCCTAGAACTCACAGAGATCCCGATCCTCTGCCTCCTGAGTGCTGGGATTAAAGGCATAAGCCACCAGGCCTGTCGACATTTGATTGATTCTTGCTGGGAAAACTGGAGTCAGTTTTCCTCAATGTAGTGATATGTAGTATATCCAAACCACACTCCAGGGCAGGTCCCACACCCAGAAGTAGTCAGCCAATACAAACTAGACTGGAAAAGGGAAGCGGAAGAGGAGGACAGGGTGAAAACAAGAGAGAAAGAGAGGGAGAGAGAGAAGATAAAGTTGAATAGGTGGGGGAAAATCTGAGGTATTGGGGAGGGGGATGAATAACATCAAATATATTGTATGAAATTCTTAAAGAATAAATAAAAACATTATTTACAAAGCAAACAGGCAGATACAACACACACAATCACTGTAGAGTACTATGAATAGGAAAAAGGAGAATATTGGGTTCAAGGACACCTGGCTATTGTGAGCTCCTTTCGCAAAAAAAAAAAAACATAGACACAAAGGAACATTTAACTTTAACACCACAGTGCTTACAATAAGTTGGAGACCAACTGGAAACTCCTATTTTTACATTTTCCCCCTTAAGATCTATTTTGTATGTGTATGAATGTCTTGCCTGCATGTATGTTTGTGTACCACATGTGTGCCTGGTACCCAAGGAGGACAGAAGAGGGGTTGGATCTCTTGGAACTGGAGTTACAGACAGTTGTTAGCTGCCATGTGGGTGCTGGGAAATAAACCCCTGTCCTCTGCAAGACGAAAAAGTGCTCTTAACCCCCAAATCATCTCCCTCAGAGCCCTTTTCTTTTTTTCTTTCTCTTTTGATTTTTAAACAGGGTCTTGCACAGTAGATTTGAACTTGCTTGAACATGATTCTCCTGCACTGGCCTCCAGAATACCATTATTATAGGTGTGACCCACCACATGCAGCTTTGTGTTCATTTTACAGATCTCCTTTCGAGAATCTCAAAGAAGCCAAGCAATCAATCACAAGTTAGCATATGAGAAATACCATCAGAGAAACAGAATTCTACTAATGTCAGAGATATTTTCAGGTTCTATCTTTATGATCTAAATTGGCATCAAATTTGTATCTCTTTGGCCATTCAAAATACTAATATCCTTTAGAGTAGTTTTCCCCTTGTCTTGACACAGATGGAAAAATAATGCAGAATTCTTGGTCATTCAGAAAAATATCTTCTAAAATTAGAGTGCTTCTAGCTACTCTAGAGGTTGAGGCAGAAGAATCACTTGGGCCCAAGAGGTTGAAACCAGCATACCAAGACCCCACATACCCAAAAAAGAAGAAAGGGAAAGGGGAAAGCGCACTATTTACTTAAACCCCATAAAGAATCTCCCATTCTTTATTTTTGGTCAAATTATGATAAACACAATCAGTACTCCTGTTTTCTGAGGGAGGGAAGAGGAGGGAGGGAAGGATAAATTGGTATCACAAAAACAAAGACAGCAGGTATAGTGTGGGCTCACACCAGCACTCAGGAGACAAGAGTTATGAGGATTCCAGCTTGAAAGCCAGCCAGAACTACAGGGTGAGACCCTATCTTAGAAAAACAACAGAACAAAAGTGGGGCATGGATGTACATTCCTATGATCTCCATTTGGAAGGTGGAGGCAGAAACATCAAGAGTTCAAGATCATACTGGGCTGTAAAGAATTCAAGACCAGTCTTAGCTACATACATGAGACCACACATCAAAACAAACAAAAATCAAACAAGCAAGCAACAAAGTACATAAAATAAGTGAAGATTTCAGCTGTGTTTTAAAAGGCCAATCCTTTAACCTCTTACTCAGCTAATAAAACTACCAATCGTGAGTATGAAGACCACCACAAACTTGGTTATACATCCCTTCTCCTAAAGTAGTCACAGTCACTTCTCCATCTCTGCTCCTTCTTTCTGGACAGACCACTTTTTTGGGGGGGGGAGGGGGTGGAGCTGAGGATCGAACCCAGGGCCTTATGCTTGCTAGGCAAGTGCTCTACCACTGAGCTAAATCCCCAACCCTCACTATTCAGATTTGAACCAGTAAACTCTTCTGTATCTTATATAGCTCAGCTCGGCTATCACTGGAAGTAAGAACTTTTCTTTGGTGTAGGATAGTGCTGCTTTACTTCAAGGTAAACTCTAATAGATTTAATAAATCTGAGCTGGGTGTAGTGTCGCACGCCTTTAATCCCAACACTTGGAGGCAGGGGAAGGTAGATCTCTGTGTTAGAGGCCAGCCTAGTCTACAGAGTGAGTTCCAGAAATATGTATGCACACAACCACTATTTTGCTTCTTTGTTTATTTGCAATTACTTAGTAGACGGGTCTTCCTTTTGTTTGGTTTGTGCTTTCTGATACAGGCCTTGAACTAGTGTTTTCTGCTTCAGCCTTCTACTTCCCTTCTCCCTCAAACGTTATAAGCATATGTCACCACACACATCAGGTGAGGCTGCTTGATGACTATTACCTTACTGTATACATAAGCATACACACTACTAGATTCTTGTAAACCATCAATATTTATTTTGTGTGCATGTACGTGCAATGCAAGTATATGTGTATGTCATAGTCAATGTGGAGGACAGAGGACAACTTGCAGGAGTTGGACCCCAGAACATGGGTCCTGGGGGTCAAACTCAGGTTGTCCGTCTTGGTAACGGGCACCTTTTTACCTGCTGTAGATTCTTTTGCTTTGTTCATCATCCCCTAACAAGTGGTAGGTTTTCAGGAAAATGGTGTTGAATTCATAAAAAAACTAATGGGCTGAGAAAAAAAGGGGGGGGTAATTCTATCTTCCATTCAAAGAGATTACTAAAACTCCTAGAAAGGAGAGCTCTACACTTAACCTCACCGATCTAGAAAATCAGCTGCAATCATCTTTTATTTCTTTGTCTCCACAGAAAGATCCATCCTGAAGAGAGCTCCCCTCTTTGAAGCACCCCCAAACAATGGAACACTACTCTCTCTCTGCTTGTAACCACCCTGACAATGTAGATAAGCTCTTCACAGCCTTTTAAATCAAATTGTGTGATCACATTCTCACATTTTTCAAATTACAATATATCCAGCTACGTAATGAGTGAGACTCTGTTACAAATAAATAAAATTCATGCCTATCTTTATATATTTCTGGAAGTCACATTCAAAAAGCCCCCTCCCTCACTTCTTTTTAGAGATAGGGTCTTACTAAGTAGCTCAACTGGCCTGGAACTCACTGAGAGCCCTTGTTTCTGACTCCCACATGTCAAGATTAAAGAGGCATGTGCCACTCCAAGGGGTGGGTGACCTAGAGCTCTTGATCCTCTGAGTGTGGCAATTACAGGCTGAGATTATAGGAAGAAGCATCACTATATCCTGCCCTTATTTACATTTTAGTCATGTTGAATGATGTATATGAAGGTTTAATGTAAGTCAGTTACTCAGATCTTAATTACGACTCTGAATCATGAATTCAACTTAATTAAGAGGTCTCACATGCTGTAGGAGTAAAGGACACTGGCCTCGGTCCTCCAGGATTTATTGGTGGGAGGGGTGGCATGACAGGAGGTGAGGATCTTGACTGTATCTTCACTTCCACAGGCGATCCAGGCATTGCTGGCACCCTTTTCTCACAACCAACTGCAAAGAATAAAAGAAAGGGAGGTCAAAGCTCTCTGTAAATAATAAATAGCAACAACAATTGGAAATGAACCTATTTCCCTAGAAGACTCAGAAGTTAAGATGATGCTTATAAAAAAAAAAAAAAGGGTAAAACATTGACTCCCTGAAGATATGTTCATGTCCTAACATCTAGCTCTGCAAATGCTACTTTATTTGGGGAAAGGAAAGGACCTTTTAAAAATCTAATTACATATTTATTTATTTGTGTGTGTGTACGTGTGTGTGAATGTGCGGCGTGTACACGTGCCATGATATGTGTCTGGCAGCCAGAAGACAACTTGCCAAAGTCAATTCTCTCCTTCTACCATGTAGGTCCAGGGGATCAAATTCAGGTTGCTAAGTTTGGTAGAAAACACCTTACTAGCAGAGGATCTTTTAATATGGGGGAGAGGGAGGCTGGAAGGATGGCTTAGCAGTTAAAAGCACTGGCTGCTCTTCCAGAGGGCCGGGGTTCAATTCCCAGCACCCACGTGGCAGTTCACAGCTGTCTATAACTTCAGCTCCAGAGGATCCGACACCCCCAAAGACATAAATGTAGGCAAAATACCGATGCACATGACAAAAAAATGTTTAAGAGGGGCCTAGAGAGACGGCTCAGAGGTCACTGGGGACAGAGGTGTGTTCCTAGCTCACAACCATGTCTAACACCAGTTCCAGGCAATCTCATAGCCCCTTCTGGCCTCTCATATGTGGAGGCAAAACATACATACACCTAAGAAAAAATCTAAAAAATTATAAATAAGTTAAACCTGGCAGGGTGGCACACTGCCTGTAACCCCAGGATTGGGGAGGTAAAGACAGGAGGATCAGAAGCTCAAAGCCAGACTCTACAAAACATTCTGGATTAGATGAGGCAAAACCCTTGACTCAAAAAAACATTTAAAATAAACTATTTCTCACAAAAGAGAACCTATTAATACCTGGAAAACAGGCTCACCTTTAAATTGAACTATATGTCTCTCACTAATTTCTTGTGGTTTTTTTTTTTTTTTTGGTTTTGTTTACTTAAATACCATAGTAGCAACTGACTTCAATTACAAGTGCAAAGGCCACGGGGTGGTGGCGCACGCCTTTAATCCCAGCACTAGGGAGGCAGAGCCAGGCGGATCTCTGTGAGTTCAAGGTCAGCCTGGTCTACAGAGCGAGATCTAGGACAGGCACCAAAACTATGCAGAGAAACCCTGTCTCGAAAAACCAACAACAAAAAAACAAAAACAAAACAAAAAAACAAATGCAAAGGCCACAGGAAAGGTTTAAATGAGAAGGTAAAAATCAAAGCATGTTCAGAAAACACAAGGCACATCTTAGCTTATTCACCACAATTTCTGATGGGAAAGATGTCCCCAAATGCTGTATTATGTTCCAGCTTGCAGTAGCTATTTTTTGGAAAGGAATATATGAATTAAAAGTATCAAGGAAGCCAAGCACCCATGTTACAAACCCCTAACAAAACCTATAGTATTCTGAGAACCAGGTGGGAATTTTAGAGTGGCCGTCCCTGGTCAGGATGCTTTCTTTGTGAAACTGATGCTCGTCCTATCTGATTAGTGGACTAATGAGCTGTTGCGCTTGCCTTTTCCTTCCTGCCAGTGTTTGCTCAATGCCCTTCAGAGAACAGTTGACGCGTTTCCAACTCTTCCATCTGGGGCTCAGCTTTCTGAGGGGTGGGGGAGAAGGGAAGGAAGGAACTGACAGTTGTCTCGCACTGTCGTGTTACGTACAGTGTGCATCAACCTGGAGGGTGTCTTTCTCAGACCACCTGTCTTTACAGCAAGGTGCCAAAGGCTAGGTCGAGGAGGGCTTAGCAGTCAAATGCACACAGCACTAGGCCAGGGTAACAAAGATGGGTCAGCCCAACTCCAGAACAGTGGGCTGCATGCTTCACCTCCTGAAAACTTAGCTAGTGGATAAAATCCAGCCTCAAGAACACAGTTCACAGGCCACATTACTTACTTCTTGTTTACTCCACTGCCCACAAACCAGCACCATTACTGTTATTCCTAGTTTCAAACAGTAATAAAGATACAGAGAATGAAAGGGCTGATTTGATGCCTCCTTCTGTTACTCACGATCTACATAAAATTTAGCAAATAATTTCAGCTTTCTAGGCCTTGTTTTTCAATACAAGTAAATGAATGAAAATAAAAAACCACCTAGAAGGAAAGCTATGAAAAGCAAAGACAGGGGCTGGAGAGGTGGCTCAGAAGTTAAGAACACAGTTGTTGTTCTTCCAGAGGACCTGGGCTTGAATTCCCAGCACCCACATGGTGATTTACAACTAACTGTCTTTAACTCCAGTTCCAGAGGATCCAATGCACTCTTCTGGCCTCCACAGGCATCAGGCACACATGTAGTACACAAATGTACATACAAGCAAAACCTAACAAATACAATAAAAATAAATAAGAACTGGAAAGCTGTCTCTGCAGTTAAGAGCACAGCACTTGTTACTTTTGCAGAGGACCAGGGTTTGGTTCCAGCATCCACATGATGGTTCACAACCATCCAAAACTCCACTTCCAGGGGATCTAACACTCTCTTCTGAATTCTGTTGACACCAAGCATGCAATGCAAATACATACATGCAAGCAAAAATAATACACATAAAATAATAAATTGCTCCACATAAAATAAATTACTCTAAGCCGGGCAGTGGTGGTGCATGCCTTTAATCCCAGCATTCGGGAGGCAGAGCCAGGCAAATCTCTGTGAGTTCGAGGCCAGCCTGGGCTACAGAGTGAGTTCTAGGAAAAGCTCCAAAGCTACACAGAGAAACCCTGTCTTGAAACCCCCCACCAAGCAAAAAAAAACAAAAACAAAAATACATGGAGATCCTGTCTAAGGAAGGAAGGAGGGAGGGAGGGAGGGAGGGAGGAAAAACATAGAAAAGAAAGGAAAAGAAGAGATCAGTGTTTGTGGTGGGGAAAAATGAGTCTGTGGTGCAAAACGGCTATGTGTGTGAGTTTTCGTGTTGTGACATACAGTAATTCCTGAGAAAGCAGCAACAACAGGAATGGGATGGGGGTGGGGGTGGATTTAAAAGACACTTAAAATTAGAACACAAGAGGATTTGGTCATTGATAAGATGATAGGGAGAGATGCACACCAACGTGGAATTACTGACCAAGATAGAGAACACTAGTGGTAGAGTATATTTGAGCAGAGAAATTCAAATATACTGTATTCAGTATGGGACATTAAGGTTTTGGTTTTGAGACAGGGTCTCACTATGTAGCTCTGGCTGTCTGGGACTCGCTCTGTAGACCAGGCTGGCCTTGAACTCACAGGGATCCACCTGCCTCTGCCTCCTGAGTGCTGGGACTAAAGGAGTGTGTCACCACCACCGACAGGACGTTAAGTTTTTATTCTGATTCTGAACTAATATACGTTCCCAGCAGGTAGTTCAATTCAGAAGTTTGGAAATAAAAGAACACCAGCTTAGAACTAGAAGTTACTTGCATAAGAATGAAGAAATAGAGGATATAAAAGAAGTAACTTATATTTTTATTTTTATTTCAAAGATTTATTTATTATGTATACAATGTTCTGCCTCCATGTACACATGCAGGCCAGAAGAGGACACCAGCTCTCATTACAAATGGCTGTGAGCCACCATGTGGTTGCTGGGAAGTTAACTCAGAACCTCTGGAAGAGCAGCCAGTGTTTTTAACCTCTGAGCCATCTCCCTAGCCCAATTTATTTTTTGAAATAATTTATTTTTATTTTTTATTTTTACATTTATGTGTGTGTGGGTATGTGTCCTCTGCCCATAGAGGCCATAGGTATCAGAGGCCCTGGAACTGGAATTACAGGCAGTTGTGAGCTGTCTGATGTGGGTGCTGGGAACTCACCTGTGATGTCTGCAAGAGTAGTATGCACTCTTCACCTTATTGAGCCACATCTCCAGGCCCAACTGAATTGTAATTTTGAGAGAAAGCCTCCTGTGAGTCCCAGGCTGGCTGGGAACACACTTCTAACAGAGCGGAAGCCTTCCACTTTGGATCCTCCTGTACACGGCCCCACTTCTCAGTGTTTTTAACCAGGCTGGCCTGAGTGCTGCTGTAACAGGGTGTGTACCATCACACCCAGCTTCTTCTGTTTTTCCTTGTTTGGTTTTTTCCTGCTTTTACTTTAATGCTCACTGAAAAATAGCTGGCACTATTACATACTCAGTACCTTTCCCTTTAGAAAGCCTTAACTATTTACAGAGTTTTTCTTTCTCAAGCTACTAACCTGTTCCTTTGCATAAGTCACAAAGATAAGGATGAAAAAATAACATGTTCACAAATGCCCAGATTTCATCATTTTGCAAGTTCTGCAATCTGTCCATAACTGTCCCATGGAATACTTGGCTTTACATTTCTTTGCTGTCATTTCTAGTTCCTAATTCTGGAAACTCACATTTAACTACCTCTAGTCATGTCTTAAATCTAAACCAGCAGCTCTTCTCAACCTGTGAGTCCTGACCCATTTGGGGGTTGTATATCAGATGCCCTGCATATCAGTAGTAAAAGTACAGTTATGAAGTAGTAATGAATTTTATGGTTGGGGGGTCACCACAACATGAGGAACTGTATTAAAGGGTCTCAGCTTTAGGAAGGTTGAGAACCACTGATCTAAACCAAAGCCCCTTTAAGACAACCAATTCACAAGGAAAGGATGAGCAAGACAGGAAAGGGAGATGGGGAAAAGGGATGTGGAGGCTGGGAGATGGCTCAGCAGTTAAGATGCTTGCTGTTCTTTTAGAGGTCCCAGGTTCAATTCCCAGCACCCACATGGCAGCTCACAATCCTCTCTAACTCCAGGTTTCAGGGGATCTGATACCCTCTTTTAGCGTCCTCAGGCACCAGGCACATTCAAAGTGCCCACACAGACATGTAGGCAAAACATTCATACACAGAAAATAAAAATAAATCTTTAGAAAAGGAAAGGCAGGTCAGGTGTGGTGGTGCACAACT